CACGTACATACACCCATACCCATTTTTTAAACACATAATAGGAAAAACATACTGTTTTTTTTCCAACCATTTTGGTTCTAACTTGTCTTGGGTATTTTTTTTTGTACAAAAATCATAAATTAAAAAAAAAAAAAAAAAAAAATAATTATAAATAAATAACTACACATTTAATTATAAAAAAAAATTAAATAAAGTTACCAAAAAAAAAAATAAAAAAATAAAATAATTATAAAAAATAATCTTTTTCTTTTTTCTTTTTTTTCTTTTATTGAGTTATTAGTATTTTTTTATAAATCAATTTCCTTTTTTTTTTTTTCTATTTAAAATATACCTTAATATTATTCTAAACTAATCCATTTTTCTATTGTTTCTTATCTTTGCACCCTATTATCTTTGGTTATTATTTAATAACTTTGAATTTTCATCTTTATTTAAAATATTTTATTTTATTTTGTGCAAAGAAAAAAAAATAAATAAAAAAATAAATGGAAGAAAAAGAAAAAAATAAAAGATAAAAAATTTGAATAATTAATTAAAAACAAAGAAAAATTCATAAAAAAAAAAACGAATGGAAAAAAAAGACCAACCAATCAGTTTAGGATTAGAGTACCCAATCATTTTTGTAAATTCACAATGATCACCTCTTTACTCTATATATAACATTTTTTAGTTTTTATTTTTTTAAAAATGTTCTATAATTTTTAAGAAAAATATTAACAAAATAAAAAAATTAAAAAATACTTGTATTTTTAGTGAGTTTATTAATACACTATATAAACCAATTATATTTTAAACTGCACACGAATGATGATGTTAAAATTTCCTTTTAAATTTAATCCATAAAACTCCACAAAAAAAAAAAAAAAAAAATATAAATGATGAGGTATTACAGTGCACTATAATTACCAACACACTACAGAAAAAAAATCAATAAATAAATTATTATATTTTTAGAAGGTATTAAAAATAAATCTAATTATAAAATTATCTTAATGAATAAATCATTTTCTAAATCCAAAGAAATTTCGATATGAAATATTTTTTTTTTTTTTTTTTTGATTTTTTTTTTTATTGTTTTTTATTTTTTACATTTTTTTAATTTATTATGCCCATAAGACATACTGTTTTTTATCAAAATTCGACTAAATCTATTATTTGCCCATGCGCATTCATAAAAAAAAAAAAAAGAAAAGGTTTATAAAAAAATGTCATTGAAAAACAATAATATTATAAATCTCCATATTTTTTTTGAAGGAATTCATTTAACATCAAAAAAAAAAAAAAAAAAAAAAAAAAAAAAACTTGGGTCAGTGCTCTTTTTGTAAGATTATACTCGCATATATTGTAAATTAATAACGCAAAGACACACATTCAAATTCTAAAAAACACAGATATAGGAGCTGTTTCATTTACAACTTTATTTTTATTATTATTTTTATTATTTTTGTTATTTTATCTTTTTTCATTTAAAATTTTTAATGTTTTTTTTTTATTTTTTTAATAAAAGATTAAACAGAAATCAAAATATTATAATATATAGATACTTTATTAAAAATATCATTAGAATTTTTTTTTAATTTTTTAATTTTTTTTTTAAAAATTATTTAATTTTTTATTGTGTGGTCAATTATTTAACAGTGTGGTTTTTCTTATTTCTTTAAATATTTTATTTTATTTTTCGTAGTATTTTATTTTTTCAATGGGGGTGTGTTGAAGTGGTAAAGGTGTGGGGAAGAGTATACAATAAATAAAAAATGGAAATAAAGTGTGGGTATTTAAATTAACTCATCCCGGATATATAGATGGTAAATGTGTTTATCATTACATTTATTGACCTATATTCTATGGTTATACCAGTAGAGATTTTTATTTCAAATGCAAATGATTTTATTATTATAAACTGATATATATAAAATATAAAATTTAACCATTTATATTAAATGAAAAGGAAATTTTTTAAAGAATAGTTTTAATTTAATTATAATTTTAATTTTTCATTAAATTTTTTTTTAAAATAATGGATAAATTTAAATTTTTTTTTTCTTTTTTTTTATTCATTCCCAATATTTATTTATTTATTTATTTATTACATTATACATTCATTTTTTAAATAATAGCAAACAACAAATTATAAAAAATGAGAGTTTTCTTAACATTAGTTTTAGTATTAGCCCTTATTTCATGTGCATTTGGTCAAAATCTTTTCCAAGTTAGTGGTGACAAATGTGGTAGTAATGCACCAGACAATACAATTAGACTTGACGATTGTCACGGTATGTGTGACTCACGTTTTAAAATTGTAGCTAGAAAGTAAGTATTTATTTATTATATTTTAAAAAAAAAAAAATTAAATATTAATAAATTTTTTATTATTTTTTATTTAAAAAGTAATGCTACATATGGTGGTTTCATTTTCACCGAATATGATAATAGTAACTGTAATTCAGATAGAGCTACTTATTCAGTTGAATTTGTTTGTCCAAAAACATTAAACACTACTGCCAGAAAATATGCCATTGCTGGTAAATACAATGTTTTCTGTTTCATTGACCAAACCGCCTCAGTTCAACCAACTGAAACCCCACAAGGTAACTCTGCCACCACAGTTGCTCTTTCAGCTGGTGCCGTCCTTGCTTCATTAGTTGCTGTATTTGCTGCTTTATAAATAAACTTTTAATTATTTTATAATAAAATATTTATTAAAAAAAAAAACAACAATTAATGCTTCTGTTATCATTTTCTATTATTCATTTTTATGCAAAAAAATATAAAATTGAATAGAAATAAAAAAAAAGTTGTTGGAGGTGCAAACCCTCTTATATAATATATACAAGTATTTTGAACATTGAATGTTTAATGTGGGTTTATTATAGTTTTTATATCAAAATCTACATCCCCCAAAATTTTCAAAACCCCCAAAAAAAAAATAAAAAACACACCATATTAAAAAACTTTTAAAATAGAAAATAAAACATGTGTGTTAAATATATTATAATATTTCTTAAAATGATCGGAATTGACCTATAGTTCTATTAATATTTAAAAACAAACCTGTTAAAAAAATTATAAAATAAAAAAAAAAGAAAAGAGTTTTTTATTATTCATCTAAACATTCATTAACATTGTACTTTATAGTTTTTAAAAAATGAAATTTGTATATAGTTTTTTATTTTTAATTTGTATTTCAATAATTACTGTCAGGTCTCAAGAGGACCATAAATTTAACTATTTTCAAGTTAAAAGTGATTTAGACCCAGAGTATTGTAGAACCCATGAAGAGGGTGACTATGCATTAGTAGAGGCAATGGTATGCCACCCTGGTTGTCAAGGTTACATTAAAATAAAACCCACATATTTTTTAAATGAATATTTATTTCAATTTACCGAATCGGATCAAGGTAAATGTGAAGATAACACTAAAAAGAATTATTCCTTTAAATGCATGGACCCATCCAATGATTTTATCAAAATCATTGGATCTGATTTCAGTGTATTATGTAGTACCCAATAAAAACATAACTACACCAACACCATCAGAAACACCCACAATAACAGAAACACCATCTAATACACCATCGGTAACACCTAATGAAACTACCACACCAAAACCAACAATATCAAACACACCAACACAATCATTATCACCATCTCCTACACCAAAGCCAACAGAAACCACATCTAACAATCCAACCGAATCACCAGCCGGTAATGGTTCACTTAAACTTTCAATTTCTTTATCATCTCTATTAGTATTTTTAATAATTTCAATTTTATTATAAAAAATTTTATTTTTAAAAAAAATTTATTCCAAAATTAAAAAAAAAAAAAAAAAAAAAAAAATTTTTTTATAAAAATATAAAATCAAACTATATATATACTTTATCTATTTATTTATATTCCCCTTTATATTTTATTTGCTTTTTTTAATATATTTTCGATTTTTATATAAGGAAAAAAAATATGTATTTCTCTTTTTTCTTTTTAAAAATAATTATTTTTTTAATTTTTTAAATTTTTACCCCACTACCACTATTAGATATACTTGATTTATATACCTAAATTATATAAAATATAAAACAATTAGTATATAATAAATTTATATTTTTTTTAAATTAAAATAAATATATAATAAAAAAAACTATAAATATTTACTTGAGAAAAAAAAAAATTATTATGTTTTTTGTATATAATTATTTAATAAAAATAACTAAATAAATAATAAAATGAAATTTTTAATTAGTTTGTTGGTTTTAATTATCAGTTTATCATCAATGATTAATTCGCAAAATAGTGGTGATATTTACGAAAGTGCATATAGATTTAGAATCAATGGGGGACAGTGTGGTGAAACTGTGGTCGAATTTAGTCCATATGGTGGTTGTCAGTTAGGGTGTCCAATCGGCGTTGGTTATTTAAATTTTAGACAAACAAGTAACAATTCTTTTGTAGCAACTCGTTATACTAATTCAGGATGTTCTGCTCAACCAACAACACCATTATCTTTTAATTTTACTTGTACAAAAAACAATGAAATAATTGACATTCCAGAAACAGATATCCAAGTTAATTGTTATGCCCCATCTTTATCCATGCCAGATCCAGTTCAAGAAGATTCTTCGACATCATCTACCATTTATGTTAGTTTTATCCTTTTAATAATTGGATTTATCGCTTCATTATTATAAATTAATATAATATAAAAATAAAAATAATAAATATAATAATTTATTACCATTTAAAAAATCATTATTATAATATCAATTTTTTTTAAATATACCCCAGATATAATCACATTAATTGTTTTATAAATAAAAAAACATCTGTATCTATTAAATTTTAATATAATTTTTTTTTTTTTTTTTTTTATAACCCCACAATGAATTCTCATTATAATAAAATATATTAGATTCATGTTAATTATTCATTATTATAATAATTATTCAATTATAATAATTGTAAAATTTTTTTTTTTTCTATAATTCTATTTATAACAAAGTTTTATTTTTTCAAATAATAACTTAAAATGAAAAAATACCAAATAATAAAAAAATAAATTTATAAATATTATTTTTTTTTTTTAATTATTTATTTTTCTTTTATATATTTAATTTTTTTAAATTTATTTCAATATATATTTTAAATATTCATAAAAACTATAAAATGGAATCACTAAATATAGGCTCAGTCGATAATGGTTTATTATATAGATTAAATAGATATGATTCAAATGATATAGAAAAGCATTGTAAACCAATTGACAATTTAGGTTCATTACAAGTCCAAGGAAGATTTTTAAAAGAAAAAAATATTTACTGTTATAATATTACAATTTATGTTTTGTTTGAAAAAGGACACGAAAAACATTTAATTGGCGACAAAGATAATTTGTGTAAAGAATTAGTTAGGTAAGATTATTTTATTATTTTTATTATTTTTATAAATTATTAATTTTTTATTCAATTTTTTTATTTAGAATGAACCCTGATTTTCAATTTGGGGAACTAGAAATAGATGATATTCTATTTGGGTCATGCAATATTACCCTTCAATCATTTTTATCATCAGGTTATTATATGAAACCACACATCGGCCCATCTTATTTTTATTTTTATTCACCACCACAATAAAAAAAAAAGATTTTCAACAAAAAAAATACAACTATTTATGTAAATTTATTAAAAATAAAAAAATAGAGAAATCTCTTTTAAATTTGATTAAAAAAAGTTTATTATATTTTTTTTTAAAATTTTTTTTAAAATTTTTTTTATTTTTATAAAAAATTAAATTAAATTAATTTTTTAATACTTTTTTTTAATATATTTCTAATTTTTTTAAAATTTTTTTTATATAAAAAAATGAAGTTTTATTTTATTTTATACATAATAATATTTATTGTTTCAATAAACGGACATGATGTACCCAATCATAAACATGATCATGTTCATCACCCATTTTTCGAATTTGATCACGAGCACTGTCATGATCATATTAATCATTTAACAAATAAAGAAAACATTAAGATAGCAATTATAGGATCAGGTATCGGAGGATCATCATGCTCGTATTATATTAATCAGGAATTAAAAAATCATAACAAAGATATAGATTACACAATAACAAATTATGAACGTGAAAAAGTAGGTGGAAGAACTAGAAATTTAGATATCCATGGAGATTATACAGAATTGGGTGGAAGTGTGGTGCATCCATTAAATGAAAATGTTATCAAATTAGTCAATGATTTAGGGCTAAAATTTAGAAGAGCCAATGAAACTGATGGTACTCTTATAATTTGGAATGGAAGTGACTATACTTTTTCAGAACACCCAATAAAAATATTTAATCAATTAAAAATGCTATACAACTATTACTGGTCACCTATTAAGTTTAGAAGTAAGTATAAAATAAATATATTCAATTTATAATTGTTATACTAATTGTTTTGATTTATTTTTTATTACATAGATGGCAGAGATGAAGTCGTAGATAAATTTTTAAAGGGTTATAACATCAGTGAACCTTTCAAAACTGTAGAAGAATTTTATAACAGATTGGGATTATTGAATGTAACCAAATTAACAGCAAAACAATATTTTGTTGATAAATTAGGAATCTCTAAAGATTTTGTAGAAAATATACTCTCAGCAGGTATGAGGGTAAACTATAATCAAGATTATGATTCATTATCTGCATTTGCTGCATTCATTGGTTTGGTTGGAACAGAAAATGGTTTACTAGCAGTGGACGGTGGTAACTATAAACTATCAGAAGCATTATTAAAGGTAAATAATCTTTAAAAAAAACAGCATAAATCCAAACCTAACATTTTGTTTTTTATAGTCATCATCATCAAATATTATAGATGAAGAGGTTTTAGAAATAGAAAAGGTAGTCGAAGATGAAAAAGACAAAAAATACTTTTATATTGTAAAGTCTAAAGATTCAAATGGAAATATAAATACTAAAGAATATGATATTGTCGTTATTTCAACACCCTTTGAATTTACAAATATTAAACTTAAAGGTTTCTCAAAAGATATAGAAAGTGTTCCAAAGAAAAAATATAAAAAAGTTCATGTTCACATGTTAGCTGCTGATTCTATTAACTCTACTTTCTTCAATCATCCAAATGACACAACTATTAACTGTGTTTTAACAGCATATAACAAAACACTACCATTCTTTAGTTTATGTCAAAACACAAGGGTATTAAAATAACTTATAATTATTTACAATTGAAATACATATGTATTAATAAATTTTTTTTTTAGGGTAAATTAAATGATGGAAGAACTGTGTTTAAAATTTTTGCACCATCCAAATTAGAAGATGACTATCTCAATAAAGTTTTGGTTAAGCCTGAATTGTTGCATTACCATGTTTGGAGAGCATACCCAGTTCTTAACCCAGTAGAGCAATTCCCATCAATTATTATGGACAATGGTTTGTTTTACAATAGTGCATTTGAACATTCAATTTCCACTATAGAGACCACGACCATTGCAAGTAAAAACACTGCTAGATTAATTTCAAATTTATTATCATCCAAAAAGTAATTTCTTTAAATTAATTTACATGTAAATTATAAAATAAATAAATAGGTTTCTAAAAAACATATTATAGTTTTAAAAAATTATTTTTATTGTTTAAAATTTATTTACATTTGTGTGATGTTTTGTATATGTAAAGTTTGTTTGTTGTGTTGGGAGTGATAGGTTTGAAATGGCTGATTATTCAATTTGTTTTTCAGCGTCATATTTTATAGCTTGTTGTTTTATTTTATTTGTGTAAGTGGTTTTATTTTTTCTAAATATAAATAGTTGGTTAGTAGAAATATTTTTGGTTTTATTTAATGGTCATATTATATTATATTTACCTCCAAAGATTTATAGCTTCACTATTAGCGGCACTATCGGGGTTTGGGGATTCTAGTAAATCATAAATACCTGTCAAAATCTAAATAGTATAATATTTTGGTTAGTTTTTCTTTTCTTTTCTCTCTTTTTAGTTATTTGATAAACACAAACATTTTTAATTGAAATTGAAGGTTTCCAATCATCACCAATAATACTTAGGCAAATTTGGCCATTATCAAAAACATTTATGTGAAAGAACCCTTTATCGAAAAAACAAAGTGGTGCTTTTAGTGGGTAATCTTCTTTAAAGTGTAAATATACTGTATATAAACCGCCTTCCCATGGTGTACCAGGTTTACCTGGAATACCACATTTCCATTTAAATAGATTTAATGATTCATCTGCATTTGTTTCTGGTCTAGCATAGAAACCCTATTTTAAATGTAATGTTAATTTTAAGATCATGTTTATCCTATTAAATATATTTGATTGTACTTATACATACTGGTGGGTGATCTTTTCTCCAAGCTTTTCTTTCTTCGACCAATCTTGTTTGTGCTATACTCTTTTTTTTTTTTTAAATAAATAGTAAAATTAAGTTAATATTTATATGTTTTATATAAGGATAAAAATATATGAATTTACCATCTTCTTAAATTTGGGGTAAATGAAAAAAAATAAAAAAAATAAAATAAAATAAATTAAAAAAAAAAAAATTGAATAAATGAGAAAAATTTTAAAAAATAAAAAAAAAAAAAAAAATAAATATAAAAATAGAAACGATAATCACTATAATTATAGTCGTTTATTTTAATTTAAAATATTAAATTTTTATTTACTTATAATTAATATAAATTTATATTAATTTTATCTTTAGGTTTTTGGGGTATTAATTATTTATTTTTTTTATTCATCATTTTCTTCGTCTCTTTCTCTATATCTATTTTTATTTGGTGTATTACTATTATTATTATTGTCTCTTTGTTTTTTGAATGAATCGCCATCATCGTTGTCACGCGATCTTTTACCAGAGAATTGTTGTGGTTGCATTGTTTGAAGAATTTGTTGTTGGTATGTAATGTCAACATCGTTATATTGTTCCATTTCAAATAATCTTTGTTTACCATAGCCACCTCTGCCTGGATCATAATCGGTTCTATATTCATCTCTAACTTGACCACCACTTAAACCACGACCATATTGTCTACCTTCACGGAAACCATAATCCCAATCACAACGAATCAATCTTTCGTCTAATTTGCTACCATTAATATATTTTATACAATCTGCTGCATCTTCTTTTGAATAATATCTTTATAAATAAATGAAACATTAGTATTTTGGAGGTTGAGGGTTGAATGTGATCATGGATTACTTACTCTACAAAACAAAAACCACATGGAGTTTTTTGATTTCTATCTAAACCCATAATAATTCTTTTAATTTCACCGCATTTTGAAAATAATTCATATAGCTGTTCCTCGGTTGTATAAAAAGATAAATAACCAACATAGATAGTGGATGATTTTTCTATAGCTTTCTTAAATTCGTCTTGTGTTAATCCTGATTTCTTGTCATAATAAAATGGTGCTGGGGTTGTGTATAATTCGGCCATTTTGTTTATTTAATAATATATTATTATATTATACTGGTATTACTATTTTATTTTTAAACTTTTTTTTAAATATACATGTATGTGTGTCTATGTGGTTTATTGATTGTATTATTCGATTAATAAAAGTTTTAGTTGTTTGAAATAATAATTATTATTTAAAATAAAAATAAAAAATTTAAAAAAAATTCAAAATTTTTTTTTTTTTTTTCAATTTTTTTCAATTTTTTTTTTTCATTTTTAATTAATTTTTTTTATTAAAATTTTATCAAGCATTATTTCTTTTTTTGTATTTTTATTATAATTTGTATCATAAATTTACAATAATAAATAAATATCCATCACACAAAATGTTTACATAAATTCTTTAAATGGATTATAGATCAACTAATTAGAGTTAATAGGTTAGTGAATACACCTTTTTAATTATTTAAAATTAATATTTTTTTAAATAATGAAAAAAAAAAAAGTATAAATAAATTTTTTTTCAATAATAAATTCATTAATTTTCATTTAATTCAAATCAAATTAAAATGACTTTATTAGGTAAATATATAAAAAAATAGTTATATAGGAAAAAAAATTTATTTATGCTAATCTCCTTTTAAAAACTATATAGATATTATAACAAAGATTGGTAATCCTTCAAGCTCTACTTTAGTATCCACTGTTAGTTACTCTGGTTCCAACGACTTTGGCTCCGATGAAATATCCTGGGATGGTGGTGGTAGTGGCTGGAGGGGCGGTGGTGGCGGTAGTGGCTGGAGGGGCGGTAGTGGCTGGAGGGGTGGTAGTGGCTGGAGGGGCGGTAGTGGCTGGAGAAGCGGTGGCGGTAGTGGCTGGAGAAGCGGTGGCGGTGGCGGTGGCGGCAGCTGGGGTCATTGGTAATTCTCTAATTAGTATACACCACTTTATATCTTTTGCTCTTTTACTTTTATTTCCAATCAAATAAAATCTTGTTAAAATAAATATTATTACTTTATCATTTATATACAAAGAAAATAGGTTTTTTTTTTTATTTTGTGATAATGCATTTTAATTTTTTATTTATTTTTTTTTTTTTTTTTTTTTTAAATTGCAAAATAAGTGTAGGATCCTGGTAAGTTGTTTTGCCAGTAGTTTGGAATAACAAAACCAGCAGACCATGCCCAATTATAACCTGCTTCGGTAAAGCTAATAGAATTGTTTTCAATTTCAATGGAGATAATATCTAATTTACTTTGTGGAATGAGGAATGGGTTATAGTTAAAGTTTGGAAGGGTGGTAGTTCCTCTTAAATATGGAAGGATGTCGCAATAGTTGGTGTCGAGGTTAACTTGGCATATTTGGGTATCATTTTGGACAATATAGATGTTACCAATGTGGTCAGTATAAATTTGAGTAATTAAACTAACTTCATAAAATAATTTGATATTATAGACTTCTAATGGAGATAAGCTTGAGCTGGATTCACCGGTTTCAGTACCATTTAAATTGCAGACAATAATGGTTGCGACGTATTCAGGATTGCTAGTGCTTTTATAAACTACTATTAAATTGCCGCCATCAATACTTATAGCACCGACTGGACCAAAAGAAGTGTCAAAATCTTGGGTGTTTTCAATGAAAAATTCAGCACTTGGAAGAGTTTTATAGGATGGAAGACTACTATAAAAGAATAAATCGATTAATTTAATACCATTGCTATTGTTATTTGGATCAATTAAATAGATGTGGTTTGGTTGTGAAATAATATAGTTTTGGTAACCACTTTCAATATTTAAAGCACCTGATGAATAGGTAATTCCATTTGTTATTGTTTGTTGACCGGTAGTTACATTAACACTAACTAAGTTGAAGGTTTGAGTTGTTTGGCCTGGAGTATTTGATGCGCACAATATGGTGACAAAATCATTTGTAGAGTCGAGGTATGTAATAGCTTGGATTGAAAGATTTGATGGTAATTGGATGGTTTTTTCTAACAAAAGATTATTTCCAAATTTTGGGGTTACAATTAAATTCAACTTAGAAGCGTCACTTCCATGGGTGGTAAGAGCATATAAATCGGAATCTTCTCTTTGACAATAGCATATATTTGTTAAAAATAATATGATAAAGGTTGTATATATTATTATTTTATTCATTATTTTTTAATATATATTTTATTTTTATTTTTTAATAAATTTTTTTATTTGTTTATTTGTTTATTTGTTTTTAGAATATTGTTTATAAATGAATAAATCCTAAAAATTTTGCATTCTATTTATATTTAAAAAAAAATTCGAAATTGCGACCAACAAAAAAAAAAAAATAATTAAAAAAAAGAATCTGGATTTTTTAATTTTTTTTTTATTCCATCAGTAAAAATTAAAAAAATGGAATGTATGGAATATATTATCCTATAAATAAAAAAATATATAGAATTTCTCTATTTTTTTTTTTTGTAAAAATAATAAAATAAAGTGATATGATTTCCCTATTTTTGTTCTATTGGTTTTTAATTCAATTTTATATTTAAAAAAAATATTCCATTGTATGGAATAAAATTAAAAAAAAAGAAGAATCTGACAGATTGGTATTAAAGATTATTTAAATAATATTATAGATATTTTTTATATATTTATTTAAAGGTTATTATTTTTAAGGTGGTAAAAAGTCGATTTTTAATGCATAAAATTTTGTTTTATTGGAGTGGTTTTCTATTTTGTGGTTCAGTTGCGTATTCTTTGACATTCCTATTTTTAAAAAAGATTACTATGATTATAATTAGAGAAAATAATAATAATAATAATAAAAAAAAAAAAAAAAAAAAAATATTCTAAATTGATTAATAATTTAAAAAAGAAATATTTTATTGCAATAAGATAAGAAATAAAAAAATTCCATTGTATTCATATAGGATAAAAATAATAATAATATTTAAAACATTGGCATACTACGCTTAAAAAAAATTTTAATATTTGATATTTTACTTACATTACTTATATTAATATAAAATTTGTATTATGGTTGGATGGCATTGAAATAATGAGCTGCCATATTTTTTTTAGATATTTACCCAATAATAAAAATTTCATTTTTCACATAAAATTTTTGAAAAAATTTTTTTAAAAAACGAAAAAAAAAAAAAAAAAAAAAAAAAAATGAAATTTTTATGTTAATATTCATTTATTATCTTATATATTAATTTAATTAAAATCAATGTAGAAGTGTTTATAGAAAATTTTTTTGTTAAATTTATTTTTATTTATTTTTAAATTTACTTTGCCAAAGTAAATATTATATAAACAAATAATAATTTTTATACGTTATTAAAGTATGCTAAAACTAAATTCGAAAAAATAAATATTTATTTTAGTTTGTTCATTAAATTTAAATGTTTGCTGCACAATGGTTGGATATGAAATTTTATTTTATTTTTTAAACGAATATTATTTTATATTCTTTAATCCATTGGTTTGTTAAAAGTAAATGTTCAAATAATTTTCTTTCTTTTTTTGGATTATCAATATTTAATTTGTTTTTTATGATTTGATAAATTGGTTCAGGTTTAATAAATTGATGAATTGGTGATTTTGAATCATTTAATACAAGCTCCATTTGATCACATAAATGATAAAAGAAATTAATATCACAGGATTGAGGATATGCACTTTTTCTACGATATTGAACTTCTTTTGGTAAAAGATTACCAATTGAGCGACGAAGTATTCCCTTTTCAATATTATCCAATGATTTTATTTCAAAAGGAATATTCCAACAATATTCAACTAAATCTTGGTCACCAAAAGGAACACGTACTTCAATTGAATTTGACATACTGCATCTATCTTTTCTTTCTAATAAATAATGGCCATAGTATTTAATGAAAAAGTAAGATAATATTCTTTGTTTTCTTTGAAATTGGTTTTCTTCATCTAAATTATCATCCATCAAATATGGAACTTGATTTAATAATTCACTAAATTTTCTATCTTTAAAATTTTTATAATCTAATTTTTCTAAAAATTCATCTTTTAAATAGAGATTATAATCATTATATAATTCTACACCGACTAATGTTGGAATAGTATCGTTTGATATTACTTTTTCATCATGAAACCAACTATATCCAGAGAATACTTCATCTGATAGTTCACCTGATAAAATTACTTTACAATTACTTCTATCTTTTTTAATTTCTTTAAATAATTGAATCATTGAAGTATCAACATTACCATAACTTGGATAATCAAAACATTTGAGTGGGTTATAAACATTTACATCATATAAATTATTTTTTGAATTAATAATTACCGTTTTATGGTTAGTTGAGCAATCTGTTGCAACTAATTTAGAAAATGGTTCATCTACATCTCTACGTAAATAATCCTGTTTAAAATCAGATTCTTCATTTTCAAAGGATAATGAAAATGTATTTAGTTTTGAATTGGGACGAATATCTTTTGATGTAATAGCAACAATTAAACTTGAATCAAGTCCACCCGATAATAAAAATCCAATTGGTTCATCTGAAACTAATTGTTTTTCAACACTTTGTTTGAATAATTTTAAAACTTTAATTGTTGTTTCTCCAAGATTATCCGTATGTTTAAAGCTTTTTAAATTCCAATATTCTTTTATATTCATTTTAAAATTTGAATACTCTTGAAATATAGAAAGTGATGAGGATTTAATATTATCTTTTTCATTTTGGATTTTTTCAAAAGTAATATAATTTCCAGCAGGTACACTCTTTATATCTCTATAAATACAATGATCTGGTGATTTAATGGGTCCCATTGTAAATAAATTATTTAAACCTTCATTATCAACATATGGCTTAACTGATGGATGTGTTAATAATACTTTAATTTCAGAACCAAATACAATTGTATTACCATCATCAGGAATAATAGTATAGTATAATGGTTTTACACCCATACGATCTCTTGCTAAAAATAAAGATGATTTTCTTTCATCATAAATTGCAAATGCAAATACTCCATTAAATTTTGATAAACATTCTTCTCCCCATTCAATATATGATAAAAGTACAACCTCTGTGTCAGATCTTGTTTTAAATTGGTAACCAAGTTTTTCCAATTCAATTTTTAATTCTTTAAAATTATATAACTCACCATTATATGTTAATATTACTGAAAATGAAAATTGATTATCATGATCATTATCACCATCTTTTTTATAAATCATTGGTTGTTTGCCACCTTCTAAATCTATAATTGCTAATCTTCTATGTGCTTTATATAAAATAATAATTTTTAATATATTAATTTAAAATTCTTTGGAACAATAATAATAAAATTTTAAATTTAATATATTACCAACTAAAGCATGTTTTGAAAAATAAAAACCCTCTCCATCAGGTCCTCTATGGATTATAGAATCATTCATTTTTTTTAAAATTTCATTTTGATTCTTATTATTTATATTAATTGACCAATTAACTATACCACTAATACCACACATATTTTTATTTATATAAAAATAAATTTTAATTTATAAATAAACAAAAACAATTCTATATTTATATTGTTTTTTAATTTTAATATTTTTTAAATTATAAAAGATTAAAAATTTTTTTTAATTTTTATTTTTCAGTTTTTATCTTTTTTTTCATTTTCTAAATTAATATAAAAAAAGTTTTAAATTAGTAATAAATCTTTACTTTAAAAATTTGGGAATCTGTATACCTAAAAAACATTATTTTTTAAAATAATAAAAAACACTAAACCATTCATTAAAATTTTATTTTATTTTTTTCTTCTGTTAATTTAAAATAACTAGATAATATATTATTATAGTATCAAGATTTAATAACATTAGTTTTATAAATCCTTTACAAATTGTTTAATATATTATTATTATATTCTTAGAGATCAATTAATAATATATTTTGGTGGTTTTAAATTATTTAATAAATATGGGGTTATATTTGTATTTTAATTATTTATAAAAATGGGGTTGTTATTTAGTATTTTAAAATTTAGGATAAATAAAACAATATAGGGTGAAAATATAGACATTAACACAGGGAAAACCTTTATTCTAAATAAAATTTAAATGAAAAAATTAAAAAGACAATATAATTGTTAAAAAAAGAAAAGTATTTATTTTGTGGATCACAAAGTTCACAATACAATTTGATTTATAAAACAATAGAAATGACTTAAGTTGCAATAAAATTTTTGAATATCACTACAAACAAAAATTTATTGTTTTTATTTTATCAGTTATTATATAATAATCCAAATATATTTTTAATTGATCAGAATATTTGTTTAATAAATAGTTTGCAATACTATTGTGAGAGTAGTCATTGTATAATATGGAACCAAACCAATCGACAATGTTTGCATTTGAACAATAATATTTTTGATAGAGTTCCCTAACCGAATGATTTTGTTTTATTTCCGATACCTCTTCATATAATATATAAATACTTTGATCTGGTTTGTCTCCATAAGTATTTAATATATCTTCTAATTGTATAAATGATTCTATATCAAATGTATGAATCATTAATTTTAATTGCTTTGTGGTAAAACTGTTATAGTCTTTTTTAGTTGGAGTTGGATTTGCTTTTTTATATTCTAAATATTTTTTGAATAGATTTATAAATAAATTGATTCTTGGAGGATCGTGTTCTAAAAGTATCGATAGTTTTGATAGAGGTGCTTTGCTAAAACCTGCTTGGTTGACAATAGCGGTAATTGTTGAATCTATAAACTCAAGTTTGTCAACATTATCATTTTGATTAAAGAAATAGTCAAATGTTAAGATATCTGGATCAAATTGAAAAGAGTATAGTATAGTATAGAATTCTTCATATCCTTGGATGCATATATCCACTATAAAAGAAGATGCCATTGGTGACAGCACCTTTAGATAAAAATAAGAGTAATCTAATCCATGTTCCAGTTCTGCGAAATTGGTTATTAATTGATGTGCTTCTATGATTTGATCTTTTTTTATATCCCCAATTCGAATTACTTGATTAAATAAATATTGTAATGCTGGCGATAAAACATCCTTTGATATTTTATAATTGTTGAAATTTGTAATAAATAATTGAATTAATTTAATTACAATTTCATATTCATAGTATGAGTATAGAGATGAATTTAGCGAGTTATCACATAATGTTACAGTGCATATTTGGTCGCTGCAATTGTCTATAAGATATTGAATTGCATGTAGATCCCCTGACTCGACAAGCCTTATAAACAACCATACTATTTCATTTGTTGATGCTCTTAAAATAACTGATATTTTCGATGAATCTATGATATGAGAATAACGTTGAGGTGCTTCAAATTTTTTTAATTCATTATCTATAAATTCTATACTTCCATTGGGTCCAAATCTAAACCTTTTTTCAAAAAAATCCACAAATAATTGGGTGTTATCATTAAAATTTGACATTATTAAATCATCTACAAACGATTTTAAGTTATTGTTTGAACGCAAAATGTGAATCTTCTTTTCTTTTACATTTGAATCTAAAATATTCATCATTGTTGATTCGAATTTGTATCTTGCATATTCTAATAATTCCAATGCCTCAAAGTGAATGTAATTTTTGTTTAATTTGATATTTAGATTATCTTTAGTGCATGGACTACAGCCACCATTTTTATTTGCTAACCAATCTATCGTCGATCTATCTTTAATGCGTGTGTATACCTCAATGTCATAAATTGATGATATTACTGGATCCCATTCCGCAGGAAATGCATCTCTTGATATCATTCGGTTGTTAGTGTTGGTGAAGATATTATTTAAAAATTCACTATATATCTCTTTTGTATTTGCATTTAATATTAGTTTTGATAGTTTTTTATCTAATACCCCAATTGAAATCAAATTCTGTTCTGTGTAGTTTCTTATAAATTTCATAACTTCATCTTTTGAATACCCATGGTTCTGTTCGTATAATTTAATCATATATTTATTATATGCATTTTTTTCACAATAATTGAATTTGTTAGAATCGATTTTATTTCCTTTCTTTAAAAGTAAATTGAGTACTTTATTATTAAATGTGTTAGTTATATAAATTAATAAAAGGTTGTCAACTTGATCTAGATGTATATGTTCTATTGGTTCTGAATATTTTTTTATGTATATTGCATGTAAAACAAGTGATTGTGTCTCTTGAACTAATAATTTAAAAAGTTTTTTAATTGATGCCTCTTTATTGTTGGATAGGGTAATATGATTTATTTTAATTTGAATCGATAGTGGAATGGTTTTATTGTTTTTTATATCGCAATTGAATTGTTGAACATAATCCTCGAATTTTAAACTATTAAAGTACAAATGGAAATATACTAAGATTGATTCGATTGATGTTGGCTCATTAGAAGAGTGGGGTGAAGAAATTAGACAGTCATCAAAATCATGATGGTAATATGTTTGAAATTGAAAATTGTTTAATAATGTGTATCTTAAAGATGTTGAAATGTAATTCTTTAAAAAAACATTGATTAAAGTTTTTTTATTATATCCATAGGGGTCTATTTTTACTTTAGATGAAGGATAATTGATCAAAAATTCGGCATTTTTTTCTTTTGTAATTTCTGGTAAAATTAAACACTTTTCTTTATACGAAATTGAAAATGGAACACCATCATTATAAACTCTATATAAATCTATAATAATCTTCAATACCTCCACCCATGCCCCATTTATGAAAACCATATTTATTTTTTCTAATACATATTTTTTAAATTGTTCAGATTCTAGTTGAATATTAATATTGATTACCTCGATTATTTTTATCCTATTATCCTCATAAAAAATTGATGTCGAGTCATTGAATATTTCCTTTAATATCACACCCCCACAATACCCAGTTTTTAAAAGTAATGTATATATTTCTTTAAATAGTTCAATGTTTTCTATTTCCAATAAATACTCTTCTATATAATCACTTTCAATGTAAAAAAGTTTTTCTTTTGCTATTATTTTATATTTTAAAAATTGATAGTTTTTATTTCTTAACATTGATTTTATTGATGTGATATTTTTAAATTTTTTACTTTTCAAACAACATTTGCTATTTAAAATTTTTTTTAATAAAAATCTATTGTTAAAAACTTTCCAAAATGATAGTTCATGATTAGATTGAATTATACCATAACTATTATTTCTATTGCTATTATCATTACAATTGTTATTTGTTTGCATTGTTTATTATTTTTATGTAAAAAATGCATTTTTTAAAGAAAAAAAAATTGGTTGTTTTAAAAATAAAATATCAGCAAAAAAATAATATTGGTGGAAAAAAAAAAGAAAAAAAAAAATATTTGAAAAAAATTTATGGGTTTTATAGGAAAAAAAAAGCAAAATTAAATAAAATCAGAAAAAAAAAATAAAATAATTATATATGAAATATTTAAGGAAAATTTAAAATCATTAAGATGTTTTAATATTATGATATAGTCAATATAATTATTCACATGAAATATCATTTATATAAAAAAGAGGTTAAAAAAAATAAATAAGTATTTTATTAATAATGATTAGTTTCATTATTTATATTTTATCATAAAAAAAAAAAAGGGTCGATATAAAAGAGCCCAATGGTTTATTTATTCATATTTTTTTCTTTTTCATTTGGGTTCCATTATATATTTTTTTGAATTCTAACCTACAAAAAATCTTTTCTTTCAATAATTATTTTTTCAATTCTTTCAACAAAAAAAAAAAAAAATTACAAAAAAAAAAAAAATTTTAATTTTTTTGTTTAAAAAAAATATCACTGGTTTTTGATTTTTCGAAACCGGTTTTGATATTTGCAAAAAAAAAGAAAAAATCTAAAAAAAATACATTCTTAAATATTATTAGAATCTTTCGAATTCTGGTGGAAAGGTTTTTAATTGAAACAAGAAACAATTTGGTTCAAAAAAAAAAAAAATAAATAATATATTTGGAAAATTTAAAGGAATAATGTGATGTTAAAGATTTATTTTTAAACTCTGGTACTAAATTATTAAGATTATTTAAAAAGAAAATTACCTTTAATTTTTTATTTATTTATTTTTTCTATATTTTTTTTTTTTATTTCTTTATAAATTAAAAAAAAAATTTTCAAAATTATTTTAAAATAAAAATACATATATATAAAGATATGAGATTTATATTGCTTTTATTATCAGTTATTTTATTAAAATTCGTTTCTGCATCTGTACCAGCATATGGTATTTGGAATGGTGAAGAAAATGATGTTATTATTGGGAAATTAGATTATTCAGATTCACCAAGTTATTCAAAAATATTTTCATTGGAAAATAGTACTTTAGTTAGTTCAAACGACAACCCACTTTCAACTATTAATAGATTAACCAATACAATATATTTCATTACTAAAAATGATGTAGGTATTAATTTATAATTTATAAATAATTTTAAAAAAATTTACTAATTTCTATTTTTATATTAATAGGCTAATCAAGATTCATTATATTTATATTCATTTGATTTTGAAAGCAATCAAGTTCAAATGGTTTTAGAATATTTATCAAGTGACCTTCAAATCCATGCTATTGAATCAGCACAAACTACCAATGATCTTGATTTATTAATTGTTTATAAATCTAAAATCTATCAAAGTCAAAACTATTTTGTTGGCAGTCTCAGCATTCAATATGGTGTTCCAGCTCTCTATGGTCCAGTTACAGGTAACTTTTTATCAGCTACTTTTAATACCGATTCACAAACCATTGATGTATTTTCAGCATCATTAAACTCAAACAGTTTATTCATTACATCTTATGCCCTCTTTGGATCTTCAAAAGCCACACAATTAAAATCAAGCTCTAATGTAAAATCTGGTTCACTTTTAACCTATTCATCAAGTTTATCATCACTCTTCTCTATTGCTAATGTTAATAGCAAACCAAGTATTATTAATATTAAAGATGGTGAAATTTCAGTATTAGATTGGATGAATAATAATAATCCAAAACAAGTCCAACAATACTCCTCCATGGTTTTTAAATATTCCTCTGCTTACCTTTCAGTTACTTATTCAGATGGAACTTTTGGACTTCATGTTTTAAATAATTATGGTTTAATTGCTACAATCCAAACTCCATTCTTATTAAATAACTATTGGTTTATTTAAAAAAAAAAATTAAATAAAGATTACACCTAAAATAGTAACTCAATTTTTTTTTTAAAAGAATATTAATATTGTCGTTTAAACTTTAGTTATTTCTTTATCAATTTTTTTAATAAAATTTATTGCAATATTTCAAGACAGGCACATTATATAAATTATATTTTAATGAGCATAAAATAATAATATTTTTTTTTTTATTTAAATTTTTGATTCTTTTATATAAATACATATAAATATCTTTTGGAATTGATGTTAATTACTGTACAATTATTGTCTTTTTTGATAGTTTAAAGAGTTGATTTAAAATTATAAAAAATAATGAATTAATATGCCTTTTTCTTTTTTTCATGTTTTTCTTTTTTTAACTCTAACTTACTTTTAAATAAATACTATTATTTTATGTTGTGTTGTATTTTGATTATTGAGATATAGTTGATAGTATCTTAATAATGATAAATAAAAATTGTTATTATGAATTGAAAACAGATCTACCACCTGATGATGCACCGGCAGAGGAAGTGCTTGATCTGGTTTGACCAGTGCCCAATAAACCTTTTTTAACCATTTTTTGTTGCTAAAGTATCTGATAAATGAAAAGAAAAAAAATAATACAAAAATATGTGATGTTACAAAATAAAATAAAATAATAATTTTTGGTTTAAAAAAATGATTAAAAATTTAAAAAAAATAAAAAAAAAAAAGAAAAATAAAAAAAATTTTATTTAGATTTTTTTTTTTTTTATTTGAAAAGATAATTATCTTTTTAAAAATCTTTTTTGTGATGATTTAAAATTAAGCAATTATTAAATGATCCTATTTTTTTATTAAAAATGATTATATTAATATTTAAATTATAAATAAAATTTTAAAAACTATTTATTTTTCTTTCCTCTTTCCTTTTCTTTTTTTTTTTTTTTTTTTTTAAAAAATTTTAAAATAAACAACCTTAGATTCTACTTATTTGAGCAGGCCCATTTGTCATAAAAAAATGGTAATAATGTGGCACTGGTAAAAAAAAAGAATAAAAAACAACGAAAACTATCACCAAAATTAAAAAAAAAAAAAAAAAAAATTAAAAATTTTTTATTTTATTTAATTTTTTTTTTTTTCTTAAAAATTAAAAAAAAAAAAAAAAAAAAAAAAGAATAATGCCTTATTATTATATTATTATTACTATTGGTTTTATTCTATAATTCCCTATTTGTATTATTTTGTTATTTTATTGTCTTTATTGTGTGAATTTTAATACCCCCATTTATTTCACCCACACAAAAAAAAAAAAATCAATAAATTCAAAAAAAAAAAAAAAGAAATTAATTTTTTTTTCCATTAATTTTTAAAATTAAATAATTTTTTATTTTATAATACAAATAATAGTAATAAAACAAATAAATAATTTTTATTTAAATTATTTATATATAAAAAAAAAGATATCTTTTTAATTATTATCAACATAGTTAAAATATATTCTATAAATAATAAATATATATAATAATCTATAATAGTAATAAAATGAAAAGGAATCAACAAAAATATCAATCTATAAATAATGATATAGACGAAGATGAATCTTTTTTAAATAATAATAATAATAATAATAACGAACAGGATAGATATAGTATAAATAGTAAACTTAGCAATAGTAGCAGTAGCGATAGTTTCGATGAATATAGAGATGATAAACAATTATTAAAAAAGAATAAAAGCTATTGGGATAGCGTTTACGATAAACATCACCCAGGTATAGGAAAAACAAAAAAAGAAAGAATAATACTATGGTTTAGAACATTATTTTATAATTGGAAACATTTCTTTAGACATACATTAAGGGTTAATCTTAGAAATAAGCTATCCTATTCATTAGGGTTTTCAGCATGTTTCCTTGTAGTTTTCATTGTATCATTATGTGTATCAATTATTACAAATACTCCAGTTGTTTTTTTAAGTTTATCAGAAGCATCAGTAGGTGAAATGGATTTAGTATTAACATCAAACTCCTTTACTCTATCGAATCAATTCAACTATACAATGATATCCGAGTTATTAGCAGGTACTTATTTAAGTCCAAACGGTCAGAACTACACAGACTATTCAGAATCCTCATCAGATTTTCAAGATGATAGCTACCATACACCAAGAATTGTATATGAAATTAATGCTGTAAGCGCTTCATCATGTCCAAATGGCGATATCAACTCTAATCTTTGGAAATATCATAATGCAACAAATGCAAATCAAGATTGTGAGCCACATTGTTTTGATAATGTATGCTCACTTTCAGTCCCAAGCAAAGCTGATTTATATGTCATCGACTCTCAAAAAGAAAAACGTATGGGTCTAGGTCGTGATTGGTCATTACCCTCACCCGACCAAGGTAAAGTTTTTATTCAATCAAAGGTAGCATCCAAACTTTCAGTTTCAAAAGGCGATTATTTATACCTTCGTATTTCTGCCACTGATTTCCTTTCTTCAATTTGGGTTAATGCTGATCCAACCAATTCAACTTTACCAATTATTTATTTAACTGTTCAAATTCAAGATGTTTTCGACAAAAGAAAAGGCAAATTTGATAACAGCGAAGATACAGCCATTGTTATAGACTATGCCACATTTATACCATTTTTATATACACAATTAGATCCAGAAATGAAAGAATCATCAAAAGAGTAAGATATATTTATATAAAGCTAAATTATTAAAATATATTATAATATATCTTAATAATTTTTTATTTTTTATTAATATTTAAATTTTTTTTAAATTTTTTATAGATTTATTAAAGATATTAATTTATATGAATATACTCAAATTATGATTGTAAATTTACCACCATCAAGATTGGAACCATATATAAATTCAAACCAAGATACAATTTTACAACATATCGTCGATTTTTCAAATAAGATTTTATATAAAATTGGGTTCAATGAATTTTCATCTTCGTTACCAGTAATGGGTCAATTATCAAAGAATCGTTATGTTGCATTGTTTTTAGGTTTAATTTTAAATGTAATCATCTTCATTTTATTGTTCCTTTCAATTCTATTAATTTACTCGTTGTTAATGATTGATGTAGAGACTCGTACATTCGAAATGGGTGTAATGAGAATGATTGGTACAACACGTAATGGTATTATTCAGCTAATGTTATTCAAGGCCTTCTCTTATAGTGTTCCATCTTGGGCATTGGGTTTATTAGTAGCTCAAATATTTGGTTTTGTTGTATCTGCTATATTCAAATCGATTACAGGTGTACCTATTCCAACCAGACTTACTGGAGAATCAATTTTATTGGCAACAGCTTTAGGTATAATTATCCCAATTGCCTCAGCAATTTTCCCAATTCGTAGTGCTTTAGGTAAAAACTTACACGACTCTTTAGATGTTAAGCACTCAAAGACAATGGCTGTTCAAATCTCAATCGAACGTTCAGAAGATAATAATTTCTCATCAGGTGTTGCTCTTATTGGTTTAATTTTATCAGTATTTGGTTTTGGCATTTACTACGTTTTCCCATTGTCACTTTTATCGTTCAATCTTACCTTGCTATTAAATATGTTTTTCATGTTACTTATTGCCATGCTTTTAGGTCTTGTCAGTTTAGCATTAAATGTAGAGCAAATTATCGAGCGTTTAGTCGTCTATTTATTCTTGTTCTGGGAAAAGCAAGCTATCAAGTCAATTATCGTTAAAAATTTAGTTGCTCATAAATTACGTAATAGAAAAACTGCCATCATGTATGCTGTATCTTTATCATTTATTATTTTTGTAAATGTCTCATACTCTATGCAACAGTCCTCAATGAATTATGAAGTCCAACAAAGTTATGGTAGTTATCTTACTATTAAATCAAAAGAGTCTTTCTTTACACAAGAGGACACATATCTTATCGACTCATTCCTCAATCAAATGAACCCCGAAATCGCAGATTATGCTTGGGTGACCTCATCATATTCAATTATAACTCAAACTTATCAAAGCTCACAAATTACCAATTTAGGTCATATTTATAGCGATAATACAAATCTTTATGCTGTATCACCCAATTTTTTCACCACCACTTTACCAGGCTTCCTTAAAGCCAACAGCATAGCAACAGATCCAGACTATCCTTTAGGTGATATCAATTATCTATCTGAACAAATTTATTCTATTTCTAGTGGAAATAAACTATTGATTGGTTCACTATATGAATCTAATATTGGTGCATCACTTCAACAACCATTTTTACTTCAATTAAATCTTAAAAAATCATCTACAAGTGAAAATAATCAAACTAGATATTTAGTCGAACCAGTAGCAATGTTAGATTCAGCACCAATATTTAAATTTTCAAAGTTCCCATCGGTTTTAAGTCAAGATTCGATTGTATCGCTTCCATCATTCCTTTCATACTCTTCAAGTGTATTCTCGTCAGTTCGTGAATTACCAATGAAATCAGTAGTATTAAAGCTTAATACATCAAACAAAAACAGTGTTGAAGCTATTAAAACTCGTATATTCAACTATTTAAATACAAATTTAAACGAAGATTTTACCATTTTAGATTACTATGACAAGATTGCACCAAATGCCACAGCTAGTAAAATTATTCAGTACTTTTTCTCTTTCACCACCATTTTAGCAATGTTAATTTCATTCTTTTCATTAATGTCATCAGTATATTCAAATATTTTAGAGCAAACTAAAGAAATTGGTGTATTAAGGGCAGTCGGTATTCCAAAGAGATGGATGATTAGAATTTATGTTTACGAATCATTTGTACTAGTTTTATCATCATCATTTTTAGGTGTTTTCATTGGTACCATAGTAGGTTGGACTATGATTCTTCAACGTGTACTTTTCACCCAATTACCAATTCCATTCGAATTCCCATGGCAACTTTTAATTGTAATTTTCCTTTGTTCAATGGTATTCTCTTTCTTCTCTGCATTTGGTCCAATTAGAAAAGTTTTAAATCAACCAATAGTTAATATTATGAGAGTTGTAACTTAAAAAAAAAAAAAGAAAAAAAAAATAATAAATAATTAATTTTAAAATATATAAATATATTTATATATAATATAAAAAACCTTAAAACAATCTTAATAAAATAAAAAACTATAATATAAATTTTGGTGTATTATTATATCTTTATTTATTTTTTATTTAAATACTAGATTCTAAATCAGCTGGGAGTTCTTGTATTTTAAAATGGGCTTTGTATGAATAATATGCATTGTATGAAAGACTTTGAATTTGTTCATTTGTAAGTCCTTGGGAAGATGCCCAATTTGAAAGTTTGAGTGATCTGCTTCTTGAAATATTAACGTTAAAAATACATGCTGCTAATTTCTCAATACTAATTCCATTTATTAACTTTCCTGTTGCAATTGCTGCTTGTTTTGTAAAGCTTATATCAATAACATTTTCAGGCTATAAAATAAAAATATTAATATCTTTATATAATTTACTTTTTTTTTTTTTAAAAACTTACTAAGAAACCATAATCTTTTGATATTTTATTTGAATCTTTGTGGACTCTAACACCTGTTTTAACAATATTTTTGTGTAATAATAATTGACCTAAAAGATCGAATGGTGATAATCCATAATTACAAATTCTAAAAATAACTGTGTTTCTATTTTAATAATAATAAAGATTGAATAAGTATATGATGATAATAAATATATAACCAATATTTTAATTAATAGTAATACATACTCTCCATTTGATATTGATATAACTGAAACTTTTGAGGTAATACCAGTTAAATATTTTGATAAACCAGACCAATCACAATCGAAACCAAGTATAATATTATCTTTTTCTGTTATTTCGTTTGGTAATTTACCATTTAATAAAGAACGAATACCACTTTCCATTTGGTCTTCAAATTCGACAACAGTGGTGTTTAACTTGATATCTGGTACTGGTAATTGTTGAATAGTTTTAATGTCTGTGTTATATAATGGGTCAATATTTGTAAGATTAACAGTTGCTGTTGGTTCATATACTTGATTTTTCTTAAAAAAAAACTTTCTTTTTTTTAAAAATCTAGGTTCTAATAATTTTATTCTTTCCTCTTCTAATTCTCTAATTTTGTCATCCAATACCTTTGTATATTCTTTTTGGTATTCCTCTTTTATAGATTCTATATATTTTTTTGCTTCAATTAAAAACTTGATGCAATCTTCTCTATTATCAAAAACATATTTACGAAATTCCAAAAAACTATTATTATAATAAAAAATTAGTAAAAAATACAATGTTAAAGGTAAATTTTATATTTATTTACTCTGTTTCGACATAGATTTTTTCTTTTGATCTTTCTAATAAGCTTGGTGTAATACTTTGTTTTAAACCTTCAACATATTTTGGTAAAAAAAGATTGGATATATTAACTGAGTTTCTATGTTCAACAAATTCTCTTTTTATCTTTAATTGTTGTTCTTCTAATGGTGTTTTGGTTGCATAAAAACTTTTTGATTGTAAATTTAAATTTCTTAAACCAAAAATTAAATTCTTTGTTTTATTTATATTTATACAACTATTCATTTTTATTTAATTTTTTGAAAAATTTGAAATAAATAAAGTTTTTTTAAAAATAAATGAAAGTAATAAATAAAAAACGAATAAAGAAAAAAAAATGAATACAAAAAAAAAAAAAAAAAAAAATTAAAAAAAAAAAAAATTAAAAACCGAATAAATTTTTTTATTTTTTTTTTTTTAAAAATAAATATAAATCAATAACTATTTAAATTAATTTAACAGTATTTGAATAATACTAAAATAATATAACCATAGATTAAGATAATAATCAAAAAAAATCAAAAAATCAAAAAAAAATGAATAGGTTTTATAAAATTTTAAAAAATAGTAATATTACAATAAATAATAAAAATAATATACAACGATTTTATTGCAGTTTGGGGAATGCAACATTAATAAATAATAATAATACTCATGGCAATAGCATTATTGATAAAGAAAAGATTAAAGAAAAAATGAAAGATGTACCAAGTTTAAATGAATTTTTAAAATCACAAATTTCAAAAGAGGATCAAGATAATATATCAATGAGACACGTTACACCAGAAATACCACCCTATTTACAATCTACAATAATGAATGAGACAGGTGAGGGAAAAAATGTATATATAGAGACCTATGGTTGTCAAATGAATTTTGCAGATACAGAAGTAATCAATTCAATTTTAAAGACTTCAGGATATAAGATAATCGATACACTAAAGGAAGCAGATATTGTATTTTTAAATACTTGCGCAATTAGAGAGAATGCAGAATCAAAGATTTGGTTAAGATTATCAGAATTAAGATCAAAGAAAAGAAAAGAAAAAAGAAATATTACCATAGCAGTTATTGGTTGTATGGCTGAAAGATTAAAAGAGAAGCTATTAGAGTCTGAGCATAGAGTAGATATTGTAGTAGGCCCTGATGCATACAGATCATTACCATCCCTATTGGCCAAGATTCAAGATGGCGAGCAACAAACTGCAATCAATGTAATGTTATCAGCTGACGAAACCTATGCTGATATTACACCAGTTAGAACCAGCGATAATATGGTGTCTGCATATGTCTCAATTATGAGAGGTTGCAATAACATGTGTTCTTATTGCATCGTGCCATTCACAAGAGGTAGAGAAAGAAGTAGACCAGTAGAATCAATCCTAAATGAAGTTAGGCAATTATCAGAACAGGGTTATAAAGAAATCACTTTATTAGGTCAAAATGTAAACTCTTACAACTTTGTCGATAACGAAGAGAGTACCCCAGTTAATAAAGATGAAATTGAAAAGTTGAAACCAAGAGACGGTTTTAAAACAATTTACAAGTCCCCTAAAAAAGGTATTTCATTTACAGAGTTGATTAAATTGGTATCAGAGGTCGACCCAGAAATGAGAATTAGATTTACAAGTCCACATCCAAAAGATTTCCCAAATGATGTATGTATACTTTGCATCTAACTATAATTATAATATTTAAACTAACAATATATTTTAATCATAGTTATTGGAATTAGTTAAAAATACACCAAATATTTGCAATTCATTACATATACCAGCACAATCAGGTAGTAGCAAGGTATTAGAATCAATGAGAAGAGGTTATACAAGAGAAAGTTATTTAGAATTGATTGATACCATCAAAAAAGAGTTACCAGATTGCACTATTTCATCAGATTTTATAAGTGGATTTTGTGGTGAAACTGAACAGGATCATTTAGAGACCATATCATTAATGGAATATGTAGGTTTCGAAAATGCATTCATGTTTATGTATTCATTACGTGAAAAAACCCATGCACACAGACATTTAAAAGACGATGTCAGCGTTGAAGATAAAGCAAGACGTTTATCTCAAGTAGTAGACACATTCTATAAGTTATTAAAAGAAAAGAGTAATAAAGAAATTGGCAATTTCCATTTGGTACTTATTGACCGTCTTAGTAGAAGATCAAATAACGATTTCGTTGGCAGAACAGATACAAATAAAAAAGTTTTAATTCCAAATTTAGAAGAAGATAAATTAAACATAGGCGATTATGTTATTGTACAAATTGTAAATGGGAATTCTGAAGTAACCTTAACTGGTAAACCAATTATGAAATCTTCAATTGCCCACTTTAATTCTTGGTCAAAAACAAATAAATTAAATATTTAAAATATATTTTTCTAAAACAAAAAAAAAAAAAAACTTTAGTATTTATTATTATTTATCTTTATTACAAAGGGTTTGGTTTAGTTGTATTTTGTTTTATAATTTGAAGAATTCGGTTGATTTGGTTCTCCATAATTGTCCACAGTATTTTTCTAAAGTTAAAATTACATAATGACCAGATCTAACTGAACCTGGATTAACCACATAGGTTTTGCCAACTCTAGCCATACCGGTAGCATGGTGTGTATGACCATGGATATTTAAAAATATTTGACTTTGCTAAAGAAAATTAATAAGAGGTGTTTGGTAAGTTTATATTGATTTTTTTATATATATAAATTTATTTGAGTTGAACTTACATTTTCTAAAATAAATTTATTAATTGATTTACTACCAGAATATATTTCAGCATCTTTGCATTCAATTTGGTCAATAGTAGTACTTGAATTGTATGGTCCCATATGAGTTAATAAAACTATTTTATCATTTGTCTTTAATGGGCTTTTTGAATTTATTGTTTGTTGTTGTTTAGAAGCTTCAAAAGTTTCTGTTAGATCGGTTTCAACCTCCTGTTCGGTTTGATATGGATATCCAGCCCAATGATTTTCATTATTACGAATTGATGGTAAACTTCCTCCCAATCCAACTAAAACTAAATCGTCATCTAATCTGTATGAGTTTTTGTGGATATTATTTGAATGTGTAGTTAATTTTGGTGGAGATCCGCCCTTTGGGAATAATAGAGTTGTTTTTGCATCGTGGTTACCTGGAATATAGATAATGTTTTTATGGATATTATGCAAATATGTGTAAATATTACTCATTTCACCTTCGCATGCTGATACTTTAAGTAAATCTTCTGAATCTACAGGATCAAAGTTACAAACATCACCTGAACATATGATAAGATCAATACTATAAACAGAAAAAGAATTAATATTTTTTAAAACAATAGTTTTATATTTGTATTTTCATAATACTTTTTATTATTATCAACCATTTCTTTATTTAATCTTTTAATGTTATTAAATGATAAATGGATATCGCTAACAATTAATATTGATATGGTTTTATCTTTTGGTCTTGATTCATTATTATTTGGTGTATATGTTGATGGTGGTAAATTATTTGCTGTAGTTGCAGTATTATTATTATTATTTGTATTCATTTTTGTTATTATTTAAAAAATTAAAATAAAAAATTTTGAAATTAAATATTTTTTTTTGATTTTTTAATTTTTTTTTTTTTTCGTGTAATTAAATTAAAAGAATATTGGGAAAATAAAAACACACCAAAATATTTTTCAAGAACAATAAATATTTATTTTTGGTAATTGTATTTTAATTAAAAAAATAACGATGACTTTATTCCAATTTTGGGTAATAATTATTTCAAAGAAGGGGGGTAAAATTAAAAAAAAATTAAAAAAATAAAAAAAAATTTATAAAAAAAAAAAAAAAAAAAAAAAAAATTCATTTTTTAAATTTTGTAAAAATTAAAAAAAAACATTAAAAAAGATAAGAAACTATAGTTTTTTATTTATACATAAAAAATGAGATATACAGCAATAGATGGCGATTATATATATAGAACTGTACCAAAGCTTTTACAAAATAGTTTATCAAATTGTTACTTTTTTTTAGTTAAAACTAACACCGCCAAACCTAGTAAGTATTTATTTATATTATAGTATTTGATATTTATAACGAAAGTATAAAACTTATTAATTGTTTAAATGTCTGTAGAGCAAAATCAATTTTTATATACAGCATTAGGTTCAGATAATGATAAAGATATTTTAAAAGTTAATATATTTTTTACTGTGGAACATTTGGATCTTATAGAGTCGCTTGAGATAGGAAATATTATTAGAATACAAAGATTAAATGTTACAGGTGTACCTCGTAGTGGTGATCTATCAGACGAAAGAAAGAATATTTTATCAAAGGTCGATTTTGAACATAAGAACACAAGTTTTGTAGTATTTTCATCCGACATGAACAGTGACTATTCACCTTTGATATCAACTTCAGAAACCTATTCATTTAATGCAAAAGATAGAGAAATAATAGAAAGGATGAGAAAAGATTGGAATAATACTTTAAGAGAAACATGGGAATCTTATTTTAAAGAAAAAAAAATACCAATTCAGTCATGCACCAGCATCGAAAATTTAAAAGCAAATCAATTCGTTTGTGTGTTAACTAAAGTTATAGATAAAACCATATCGATAGCATCATCAAAGAAAGCGACACTAATATTATGGGATGGTACTGGTGATGATATGTCATTTGCTGCTGGTAGTTCCGAGAACGAACAACCATTAATAGGAAATACTATTCAATGTCACACATGGAACGAGGAAATCATTAGACAGTGCGAAGAAGATATAAATGTTGGTATGTGGGTATATATATGCGGTGCAAAAACAAACATTTATCAAGAAATATTGGAACTTAAATTGTTTAAAACTTCTGCAGTTAGAGTCATGGAAGAAGATTCACCTCAAGTTAAACTTGTTTTAAAGAACTACAGAGAAAAGATAAGAGCATTTGCTGGAAATACATTGAACGATGGTATCAAAGGTTCTGACGAAGAAGATGAAAATGAAGATAATATCCTTGAAACCCCTCTAAAAAAAACCAGAAGAAATAGTACTGAAGAAGACGAAAATGAGGATAATATCGACGAAACAGTATATGAAAATGTCATAGTTACAGACACACCATACCCCCACATACCTATCACAACTATAGAAGATGTCAAAGCCGCCTCAAATCAGGTACCAAATAAATTTAAAATCCATGTTTCACTAGTTCAACATATTCCACTTAATATTTTAGATTTCACTAGAATACTTTGTATAAATGATGGATGTGGTAAAACTTCGCAATATAGAGACGAAAATGTTAATCCCGACCTTATAACATGTCTTCATTGCGGCTCTGGTTCTCATGTATTTATTTATCTATTTAAACTAATTGTTAAAGACCAAACAGGGGAATTACCAATAATATTTTATTATGAAGCCGTAAATATTAAAATCTATATAATTTTTACCAATATTATTTTAAAATAACACTAATTTTAATTTTTTATACAGACCAAGTTTTTAAATTTACATCCAACCAATTTATATATAGATAAAAAATCATTAGGACATATCGAGGATAAAATGAACTTTTTAAAGAAACCGAGGGTATCATTCGATTTATGTATTCAATCTTATTACGAAGAAGGTAAAGAAGAAACTTTAGAAAATATTAAATATCAAGCATTCGACACAAAATTATTAATTTCTGAAAAAACCAATAAAAAAAAATAAAATTTAAAGTTTTTTTTAAAGATTAATAAAATTTACAATGTTTATATTTTATTTTATTTTTATTTTTATTAATAGTGAGAGTTTCTTCTACCATTGGTTTGATTAAAACCAGGTAATGGAGGTGTTGAGTGATTACTATGGTCATGACTATTTTTATTATTTATATTATTATTATTTAAAGCTAAATTTTGAATAGTTAATGTTAACGATGATAGTGTTAAAGATAGGTTCTCTGTGATTGCCTTTAAACTATTGATTGATTCTTGAAGTATTTCTTTTTCATCTTTTTCTTTTTTTTCTTTTGGTCTTTGTAATAAAATATTATTTAAAATTTTTAGTCTAGCTCCTAATGTTGGTATACATAAATCTTCAATTAAATGTCTTTCTGTTAAACAATCTAAGTTTTCTAATGTTATATCATTTAATATAAAATTATCTTGATACTTTTCTAATCCATGTTTTGTTAACCATTCGATAATCCCTTTAAATTTGTTTTGTGTATCAATATTTTGATTATTATAGTTGTTGGTATTATTTGATTTGCCATTATGATGGCTATGATTACTATTATTGTTATTAAAAGATGTTGTAGATATTGTTGGTGATGAATTGGTCGATGGTGATAATGATGGGGTGGTTGATGAAGAAGAATTTAAAATATTGTTATTACTAGATTTAATATTACCATTATTACCATTACTGTTATTATTAGTATTTGTTGTTGTTGTCGTTGTTGTTGTTGTCGTGGATGTTGTTGTTAAATTATTATTACTATTATTTAAAATTATATTATTGTTTATTAATTGTTGTTCATTTGATTTTTTTAGTGGTCTTAAACGTATTCTTTTTTTTGGTGCATTTTCTAATTTTGCTAAAACCTTTTCTATGTCTAGAATATAAATATCTTTAAAGTAACGGGTGCCATCTGTTCCACCATAAATATAAACTAAGCCGTCATTTGGTAAACAAGCTGAACTATGTGCGCAACGTTGTGGTGGAGGATTTTCACCAGAAAAATGCTTCCATGTCATTGTTTCGGGGTAAAATATAAAGCAGTCATTTAAAATCTTGTCAGCGCTGCCACCACCTAAAAGTATGAATATATTTTTATAAGTTAAAAACGAGTGACCTAAACGTGCACTTGGCGCTGGTCCAACTGACTCTACTGATACATTGACCCTCCATGTATGAGTTGACAAATCCAGTATACTTAATTGATTTAACTTTGAATTTCCATCATTTCCCCCAAAAAAGTACAAACAGTTATTATAATATGTTGATGTATGACCCCAACTTAATGGCGGATTATCTCCTTTACAATTGGGTATCGACCACTTCATAGAGTCAATGTCTAAAACATATAGCGAGTTGAATGTATTATGTAAATCTGATCCACCAAAAAAGTATATTTTATTTTCTCCAGGTATTAATGTCGCTGAATGTCTTGATCTTGCTGGTGGTTTAATACCTGTTGTAATAACTTCTTTCCATTCATTTTTTTGATAGTCATAAATATGTGTATCTGATAAATATCTTTCTCCATCACTTCCCCCAAATAATAAAAATGATTCACTGTTTGGTAATAATGTTCCTGTATGACCTGCTCTTTTTAATGGTTTATTTCCTTTAGTATTTTCTGGTAATACCCATGAATGTAACTCTATATTTAAATTAAAAAATCATTAATATAATTATTGCTATATTATTATGATCATTATAGATATACATAAAATCCGTACCTATTTGATAAAATACTAAATCATCTAGAACTGAATTACCATCCCATCCACCAAAAACTGCTATTATATTATTTTTTAAAAGAACTGAGGAATGGGCCGATCTTAACGCAACTTTACCATCAACACTTGGACGTGACCAAATACCATTATTTGTTGTACCTGTCATATTAAATTAAAATCTTATTATTTCTAATTCTACTATTACTGTTTTTATTTATTTTATTATTTAGTTTTTAATACTATTATTATTATTGTTATTATTATTATTATTATATTATGTTGTAACGTGTGCTATATTATATTCATATTAATTTAAATTTTATTTTAATATTTATTTTATTGAGTTTTGTTAAATTTTAATAAAGTGATGGTATATTTAATCTATTATTTGTTATAATATTCAAAGAAATAGATATTTAAATAAATAAAGAAAATATTTCAAAAAAAATTATTGAAAAAAATATTTTTTGTTTTTTTTTTTTTTTTTTTTTTAATTTTTTTTTTTAATTTTTTTTTTTTTTTATTTAAACAAAATAATAAATTTTATTTTTTCATTTTTAATTTGTTTAAATTGGAATATAATAATAATATTTTTGTAAAATTATTTGATTTTTAGAAGAAATCAGCATCCATTTATTTAATTAATTTAAAAAATTTAAAAAAAAATAAATTTTTTTTTGTAATCAAGATTCACACACAATCCAGACATCCCAAACAAATGAAATTATAAAACAATAATTTATCATCACAAATAAATTGTACTACAGTTTAGGATGAATTAAAGTAAAGGATTGGTTAATAGTATTTAAATAATGATCATTAATAAAAATTATATTGAATGTACACTCAAACTTTAATTTAGTATATATTTGAGATACTACATTTTTTTTATTTTATAATAATTAAGTTTGTGTTTTATAAGGTAATTATTTCATTATCATAATAGCGCATCAGTTACATTTAGTAACTCAGGTTTCAAGAGTTTATCAATAAATATAATGGCAAATTATCAACTGTGGTCACAGTTTTAAATATTACTCCTATATCCAAAAATAAACAAATTAATAAATAAAACTATAAATAAATAAATAAATAAATAAAAACTATATAAATTTTTTTTTTAATTCTTTATTTTTTAATTCTTTATTTAATTTTTTTTTATTAGTTTAAATAAATACTTTATAATCTATATATAACTATTATTTATTATTATTATTATATTTGAAAGGAATCCGTTAAAGATTAAACTTTAGGTATCCATGCAATTATATTTTTTTTTTTTTTTGTATCGTTTTAAAATCTCTTCTTTTAACAATGATTATTTGTCCCATTTAAATCCGGTCACTAAATTTGCAACCTATAATATATGCTTAACAACCAATTTGATTTAGTAAAAAAAGCTCTGAATAGTGGTTCTATTATAAAACTTGACCTTCTAAAGCTAAATTAAATTAAATTAAAATAATAAAAAATTCAAATTAAAAAAAAATAATATTTTAAAAAAAAAAAAAAAATTTATTCATTTCAGCAAACCACATCATCATCCTCGAGTTAATAGACATAATTATAAATTCATAGTATAATTTCAAATATATAATAATAATAAACATATAATATTATTAATAATAAACATAATATTATAATAATAAACATATAATATTATTAATAATAATAATAAAAGACGTGTTAATGAATATTTCTCCATCTTTCCAATTTTTTTCAAATTATTTTAAATCAGCATGGGATTTTTTTATCGAATCTCCACACACCCAATAATAAAAATCATCAACAGTTTCTTAATTTTTTTTTGTCGAAAAACCCCTTGTTTTTTTTTTTAATTTTAAATTTTTTATTTTTCTCATAATTAATTCTTGGGGAACTGGTTTTTTTTTTGTTTCTATTGAGTTGAAAAAGATAACAACATTTCCCATATGGGAAAAAAAAAGAGATAACAACATTCCCCATAGGAAAAAAAAAAAAAAAAAAAAAAATTAAAAATTAATAAAAATTTTTAATTGGGCAACCAATTGAATTGATCATTTTAGATTTAAAATTGGCTTTTTTTTTAAAAAAAATGGTTTTTATTTTGTTGGGAAAAAAATATTATTAAATTAAATTTATTTCGATTTAATTTTTTAATTTTTTCAATACCCAATTTTTTTTTTTTTTCCTTCACTTTTTTTATTTCATAAAACAAACACACAAATAATTTAAAAACAAAAGTAATAGTATTTTTAATAATTAAAAATAAAAAATTTTATTAAATTGACATTAATAGTGATATCATTATTTCTATTCAATAAGAAGATAACCAAGAAGATCGTAATACCCAATTTTCTCAAAATCAAAAAGAAGAAAAAAGATGAAATTGAAGAAGAGGAGGAAGAAGATAAAAAGGGTCAAGAGGAAGATGAAGAGTATGAAGAGGATGAAGATGAAGAAGAAAATAACTTGATTCAATTTATCATAGAAGCTAAAAGTAATAATAATAACCAACCTCAAAATTTTCAAACATCAAACAACGACCTAGAAGAATATTTACAAGATATAGAAGATGAATTTATAGGGATATATAAAGACATAGTAAAATGTAGTAATTCAAGAAACAATGATAATAAAAGTTTCAAAATTGATAATGGTGTAAGTTGTTATTTTCTTTTAATATAGTTTTTAGTCAAAATTAACTCACTAACGCCAAATTTATTTATACCAGCCCCAAAATATTTCAAAACAAAAAAACCATTCTTTCGTTAAAGAAAAGCACCAATATGGTAATACAAAATCACAAACACCAAGTATAGATTCTTCAAATGATCCAAAGAAACGAAAATTTGACAAATTTGAACCAAAAGATGAGGAAGAATAGATTGAAGATGAAGAAATTAATTTCAGTTTATTAACAGAAAGAGAAACTCAACTTTTAAAAAAGTTAAAAAAATCAGAAAAAGTCAAGAGAGTTGAATTACAAAAAACCATAGATCGTTTAAATGACTCATTATATAAAAATAAACTTGATTATGAGATTAGATTTGCACAACTAAAAGAAGAAATTCACAAAAACAATAATAAAATAAAAAAACTAAAAAAAACTGAACAAGAAAAAGAAAATAATATTTTAAATAGACAAACAAAGGCAAATAGTTATTTAATTATTAGATATTTAAATAATCCCCAGTCCAAATATAATTATAAATAAATAAAAAATAAAATATAATTTTAAATTTTAAATTTACAAACAACCACACTACAAAAAAAGAAATATAATATGCACACACCCACATATTTTAAAAAGTGGAAATTATGTGTATTATTATTATTACTATTACCATTAATATTATTATGTGGTATTATTTTAAAAAAATCGATTTTTTAAAGAACCTTTCAACAATAAAATAATATTATTATAATATTAAAATTATTTTCGGTTTGAAACAAAAATTATGAACTTGATAAAAAAATAAACAAAATAAATCCACATAATAAATATAAATAAATAAATAAATAAAAAAATATTGTTTATTTTATAAAAAAAACTCCATATTTATTAAATTGATGATAAAGGTTTTTATTTTGTCGATAAATATCCAAAGAATTTTTTATTATATTTGTTAAATTTTGAAACAATGTTTCGCTTTTATTTTATTACAAACAAAAAATAAAAATAAAATAGAATTTACAAAAATAGAACAAAACAAAGAATTTAAACACTTTTGTAATATATATAAATTGCGAAATATTGATACTAGTAATTTATTTTAATCACTGCTATGCATATCTGATTATAAATCCCTGTAATAATAAAAAAAAAAAAAAAAAAAAAAAGAAATATTAAAAAAAAAAAAAAATTTAAACAATACGATATTTAAATGAATATCTCTAATAATTAACAGTTATAGCTTTTTTTTTAATTTAAGTATTATTAAGTATATCACACCCAAACACTCCTACAACAACTTTCTTTCCCTCGTATTTTTAATTTTTTAATTTTTTTTTTAAAAAAAAAAATTTTTATTTTCAATTTTTTTAAATTTTTTTCTTTTTTTTCATTTTTTTCACGATAAAGTATTTTATTTTATTTTTTTTTTTTTTTTCACTCAACAATAATAATTATATTTTTTTATACAAAATATATTATTATAATTAATTAAACTATAAATTATAAATTAAAAAAAAAAAAAAAAAAAAATTAATAATACAAATAATAATAATATAAATATAATAATAAGAATAGAAAATTAATTAACAATAAAATCAAACTCGCATACACTATAAATAAAAAATAAAAAAAATAAAATAAAAAAAAATGGATAGTACAACGAGAGCAAACAACTATTCATTGGCAAATACAAATAGATTTTCATTATTAAAAGATTTAATACTTTTTTTAGTGGAGATAACTGGTGAGTCATTAGGCTCTTTATACGATACCTTCACTTTAGATGCACCCCAAGCCGTAAAAAGACAAATTGACAATTCTGTATCAGATGGTAATCTTGGCCAAATTCTCAAAGTTATTCAAGATATATTAAAAGAAACTAAATATTTATTCAATACACCTACATCATCATCACCATCTTCATCAAATACAACACCAACACCAAATAATTTTAACACAATGCCAAAATCATTCAGCTCACCAAATTTCTATAGTACCAATAGTGGTAGTGAAGAAAATATATCATTATCATCATCACCAAATGGATCATCAATTTATTCAACACCAAGCAACTCAACTTTTATATCATCATCATCTCCAACCAAGCAACCATTTATTGACTCTGCAAATAGTACACCAAATGGAGGCAACTCACCAAATACTACAACAAATTTAACTGCTGACCAAGTTAAAATTAAACAATTAGAATTAGAACTTTTGAAATTTAAAGAAGCTGCTGCTACAATGATGAATCTTAAAAATGCTTCTGCCGCTGCTGCATCAGCTCCACCACCACCTGTAGCATCATTACCACCACCACCACCTCCACCACCACCACCAGTTTTTAAACAAACTTCAATAAATCTTAAAAGAGGTGTAAGCTCACCAAATCTTTCAACTGGTGGCTCTTCTGTTACTGCTGGTCCACCATCAATCAATTTTTCAGAAATCCTTTTAAAAAAACCATTATTAAAAAAAGTAAATTTAGATAGATCACCTGGTGGTACACCATCAAAAGAAAGACCAAAGGGTGGAGTCGAAGATGTTTTTAAAGCTATTTTACATAAATTTAAGGTAATTATTATAATATTTAATATAAAAACTACATTCAATTTAATTAATCTTTTTCTTCTTTATTTTAGAATGAAAATCAATCCCCATGTAAAGGTCAAACTGATGATGAATCTTCAGATAGTGATTTTGAATAAACAACAAATTTAAATTTTTACAAAACCAACAATAACAACCAACCAATATATAATAGTCAAATAATGTGTAATAAAAATCAAACAACCAACAAACCAAGAAACCATCAACCAAACAAACATGTCTCATAGCAATAACTCTTTTTTTTTTCCAATTTGTAAATAATTATAATTACAAGTTTTCAATTTTATATCAAAAACAAACCAATAATATTATTATTATAATTGAATTATTATTAATAGTAATAATATTTATTTTTTTTAAATAAAAAATAATTAAAAATAAATAAAAAAAATTTTAAAAAAAAAAAAAAAAAAAACATGTTTTTTGGATGTTAAAATATATGTAAATAATTAAAAAATATATTCTATTTTTATTTTAGGGAAAGTTAGATGTGTGGTTTAGGACATTAAAAAAGTTTTTTTTTAGTTTTATGTACATATTGTTATTTTGTTTTTGGATTTTTTTTTGTTTTTGATTTATTTTATTACTACTTTTTTGATGGATTGGTGAATAGTTTATTCATCATCTTCACGTTCAAATAAATATGAAGCAGCAAGCTCTTCATTTTTATCACATGCAAAGTAAGCTTCAATAACAACTTGTTTTTCTAAACCGGTTAATTGTTGTAACTAGAAAAAAAAATAAATAAATATTAGTATATATATTGGGTTTTATGGTTATACAAAAGGGGGCTATTACTCTTTCAATGGCATCATTTTCTTCTCTTGTAACTTGAATAGTAAATTGACCTGGTTGACTGCCGCCAACACCGCCACCATTACCACCTTCTTCACCTTGGAAAATACGAATAAAATCGTTTGGACGTTCAGAAATTTGTCTAACTAATTCTGGGTTTGATTGGGCTAATTGTTGTAAAAGAGTTGGGATAATATTTGGATCTTGAGCAATAGCTTGACGGAGCATTGGGAAATATGGATGATTTCTAAGGGCTTCAAATGGATTGTCACCACCTTGTTGATCATTACCACCACCACCAACTTCATCATCGTCAAATCCATCATGATCATGGTCATGATCATAATCATCCGTATATTAAAAAAAAAAGAGAATTAAAATGGTAGTATATTGAAAATTGTAAAGTTATTATTGTTATTATTATTATAAGTATGGAGGGTGAAAATTGAGATAGTTGAGTAAAAGAAAGTTAAAATAATAAAATTACATGGTTAAATTTGATGATGGAAACATTGATATTATAATAGAGACACCATAAATAATAAGAGATGGATTGGAATGATGGAAATTAAAAATAATTGGCAATCCCGACATTAAATAATGAGAAAGAAAGAAAGATCGGAAAAAGGTAGAAAAAAAAAAATGGTTTTTTTGTTAATATAATTTAATCCTTATATAATATAGATAAAACTATATAAAAGAAAAAACTATTATACTATTTTTTTTATAAAATAAAATAAAATAAAAAAAAAAAAAAAAAAAAAAAAAAAAACTAATCTTTTTAAAAACCGTAAAAAAAGGTGAAACAAAACATATATCTGTCAATATAATAAAATTAATAATTACCATCCATATTATCTTCTTCTTCGTCATCAGCAGCATTTTCTGGGATACTACCGGAAAGTAAAAGTTCAACAGCACGATCAGCATTATTATAACCTAATCTAAGGGCTCTAATAACTTGCTCTCTTTGGAAACCCATGTCCACAATATTTTTAATTGTATTTTCTAATTCTGTACCAGTAACGAAATCAGTTGATGATGTATTTTGGGAAGGTGAGGTATTTGATGATGGTGTTGTGCCTGGAGTTGAGCTTGTGGTTGGAGTTGGATTTGGGGTAGTTGGTCTGGCTGGGGTTGGATTTGGGGTAGTGACTGGTGCACTAGTGGTATTAGCTGGTTGTGATGTAGTTGTACTGTTTGATGGTGATGATGTTGATTCTGAAGGTGATGTAGTGGTAGCAGTTGCTGGAGCTTCTCTTGGTTTCTTTATCATCATAACAATAAAGCCTTGCTCACTTATTTTGTATGATTCTAAAGTATTTTTATCTTCTAAAATTTTACCACTATAAATTAATGTTTGCCATGATGGAATTTGATTATATTTTTCGAAAATTGAATTTTTTAAATCTAAAACCTTTAATTAATTATTCCATGTAATATTAATTAATGTAATATATATTAAAATTTGATGTTCAAATTTTAAAAATTGATTATAAAATTAGTACATATACATCAATGCAACAAATGTTATTTTCTTCTTTTTATATTTATTTATCTATATCTTTTTCTTTTTTTTTTCTTTTTTGTTTTTTATTTTTTATTTTTTATTTTTTGGAAAAAAATATTTTGGTGAAATTAAATTAATTAATTTATTTATTGAACTTACGGTTTTGTCAGAATCAAGTTCAAATGAGTATACTTCTTTGTTGATATTCTTTATTGTAAGTTTCATCTTTTAATTAATAAATATATTGTTTAATATATTTAATTTGTGTGTTTATGTATATATATAAAAAGTGTGATAAAAACCAAAAAAAAAAAAAAAAAAAAAATTTAAAAAAAAAAATTAAAAATTAAAAATTAAAAAAAAAATTTAAAAAAATTTTAAAAAAAAAAATTAAAAATAAAAAAAAAAATTAAAAATTAAAATAAAAAAAAAATTATTTTTGTTGTTCAACAAAATAATTATTTATTATTATTTATTATTATTATTATTATTATTATGGAAAAAAATAAAACAAATAACAATAACTTTATCAGCAATACTAATAATCAAATAACAGAGGACTCACTAAAGGCCCAACAGAAGCGGGTTCTCAAACATGTATTTCAAAAATATTATATAATTAATTTCATGTTCTTATTAATATATCCAATTTTAAGATTATTTAAAATTATTTATAAACCAAGTGTAATTATTTAAACGTCATCAAATACACACATAAACACATACACACAAACACACACATATAAAAATTAATTTTTTATTTAATCTTAATTTTTTCCTAAAATATTATTTTTAATTTTTTTAATTTAAAAGTTTACTAATTTTTTTTTATAATTTTTTTCAAATTTACTTTTTTAAAATTCACAATTCAATGAATCTACTTAATAATGTAATAATAATAAAATCTAAAAATAGAATGAAATAATGATCATTTATGTTACATCATTTATGGTGATCTTAAAAATTTTAAAAAATAATAATAATATTGACAAAATGTTAACTAGTATATTATTTAATTTAAAATTATCAACAGTGATATTACTATATTACTCAGGCGAAGCTAAAATCAGATTCGAGGATAAGCAGAAAGAGTTATTGGAGCAAAATGAAGAGTTCAAATTTGATAACATTAATAATAATAATAATAACAATAGTTTTTTATCAAATTTCATTCAGCTCGAATTTCACCATGGATTTTATTATATTTTAGCATATGGGGTTTTATCATCAATCGTATATTTATTAAAGTCTCAACCAGATCCAAAGCAATCACATAATGTTCAGTATTTAAATCAATTAACATTAAAAGAGTTCCTATTTAAATCATCAAATTCACAAGAAATCAAAGATAGATACTTTTTACTCGAGCTTTATACCACATGGTCACCACCATGCACTTATTTAGCATCCACCTTTGCAGATTTATCATTTTTGTAAATATTTACTACATACAACCTTATTTAATAACAATAGCTAACATCATTTTATAATAAATATAATATAGATACCCAGAAATTAATTTTGGAAAGATTGATATAGGAAGATGGAAAAATATAGCATATGAATACGATATTAACGATTCAGTATCAAGCAAACAAATACCATCTCTCATATTGTTCAAGAATGGAAAAGAGGAAATGAGATTACCGTATAGAAAAGAAGAGTACCAATTACCATACGATAAAAAATTAGAAAAAAATGAAAAATTATTTGCACCCACAAACTTTACTTCTGACGATATTAAAATTTATTTTGAATTGGAAAAATTAAGAAAAGAGGTCAATTCAAGCAAATCAAAAAAAACAAATAATAAAAAGAAAGTAAATTAATTTAGTTTTATAATTATAAAAACTATAAAATAAATTATAATTTTTTAGGGAGTTTTGTTATTTTTATATTAATATAATTATAAATATTATAATATTATTAATTTGGTTGGTTTTATTAATTATTAAAATAAAAATAATAAAATTAAAAAGATTGAATAAACTGATAAAGCTAACCAGTTTTTGGTGGTTTTGATGTTATTAGCAGAGTTTACGACCCATTCTGGAACACCTGATGCGCATTCTTCGGCTGGGCATTCTGGGTATGGGTAAACATTTGGTACTACAGCTAATTCGGTATTAACAGTTGCAATGGTATCAAACTCAACTTCAAAATAAAAAGCTGTCCAACCGCCATCAGTTTGTTTATTAATGGTGATTGAATAGCTGTTGTTTGAGGCTAATGGAATATCTTGTGAGATATATTCAAATGCTTGAGGGCATCCAGCGGCACATGTGTACTTTCTGAAATCTCTAGAGGTTTTTGAAACGGTGGTTACTGAATAAACAACGATCTTTGTTGGGGTACCTTTAGCAATATTCATTTTGATTGTACCAGCGTTGTTATCACTAGAATATGTGATGTCCCATGTAAGCTCTGGACGTTCAGCATTAGTTACAATTAAATTAAAGTATCTTGAAATTTCAGTCGATAATCCTGGGAAACCTACAATAGCATGATCAGTTTGGAATAAACCTAATCTTTTTTCACCCTTTATTTCACTATAGTAGTATTTGGTTGAATCTGGTAAAAAGAATTCATCTTCAATTGAAAGAACTATGTTATAGATAATTTAAAAAATAATTAGTAACGGTGGAGGTGCTGTGGTTATTATTATATATGATGGTTACCTATAAATTTTGGAATACTTTCTAATGTATCTAAATAGTTAATTGGGTCTACAATATCGGTTACAACATCAAAGTACTTAGTATCGAGGAAAGAAGGTATACTTTGGTTAACATATGGTTCGAGAGCGAATGACCAGTTGTTATAACATTGAACTTGAACTTTAATTTCTTCGACTAAATTTGGTACACCGATAACCATTGGAATAATGGCGGCAATACGTGGATCACCAACCATGCCAACACCATATGTAGTCCATCCTCTTTTACTTGCACCAAATGGAATAAACTTTTCAATATTAACGTCATTTTGTTTACCAAATTCTTGAATTGCATCCATTGCTTTAATAACAGACTTGGTTTGTGGTAATAAACTGACCCAATTTGAATCTTGAGTATCAATATATTTACGCCATGAATAAGCTACGATGTCATCTTCACGTCTTGCAACACCATCATCAAAAGTAATATACTGGTTTGGAATTTGATTAATTGTAGCAGTAATTGCATTGGCTTCTTGACAAACTTGTTGACCATAATCACCTGCTACAAATTCTGAACTTGGAACACTCCAATCTGCATTATTATATGCTCCACCACTTATATATAAAAGACCTGTTTTTTGTTGTTCAACTGTTTTTGGTACACAAATAGTTAACCAATGTTTCCAAATTGATGAATCTGTAAAATTTTCCATCCATTGTTGTGATACTATAAAAATTAATGATATAAATTATTAAAAAAATAAAAAAAATGAAATTTAATTAAAAAAATGTTAAAAAAGAGACATTGGTTCCAAAGAAATAGGAAAAATATTATAACATACCCAATTCTAAAACATGAACATTTGAAGAACCAATATCATAACTTGTTTTATATGTCCAATTGTAATGTGGATCTTCTGCATAAACATAATCTTTTAAAATTGATGATTCTGATATAACCAATCCATTTAATGATAGTAGTGAAATAAATAAAAAAGTTAAAATTAACTTCATTTTTAACAATAATTATAAATAATATAAATTCTAAATATCTATTATTATTGAGTAAAAAAAAATAAAAAATAAAAAAAAAAGAAAAAAAAAAGGAAAATATTTACTATTTTATTAAGTATTGATATTGGTATTGGTATTGGTTATTTTTTGTACTTGTTGCCATCAAAAAATAAAAAGAATCATTCTAATGCCGTATTAAACTCCAAAAAACTAAATAAAATTAAAAAAAAATAATTTTATTTTATTTTTATTTTTATTTTTTTAGTTTTCATACGACACAGAATTCACAAAAACTAAAGAATTTTAAAAAATAGATTATTATTGTAATAAAAAATTTGTAAAATGGTTAAGATTTAAATTTTTTTTCCAATATGATAAATTAAGTTTTGTTTAATTAAGACTATAATAACTATTATCTAATTTTAGTTCACACATTGGGGTAATTATTAATAAAAAAAATTAAGTTTTTTAGTTGGTGAGTTTTTAAAAATAACCCAACTTAAAATTTTAAATAACTTATTGATTGATTAAAAAAATTGTGCTATTTCAACATGCTTCTATGTTTATTTGATGTTCCTCCACATTTTATAGGGTTTATCCACCTTTTCTATTTCAAATTTTTTCTTTCTTTATTTAAAGTAAAAAAAAAGATTTGTAAAAAAGAAAACTTTATTTTATTAATTTTATAAAAACTATTTGAAAAATAAAATATAGTTTTATAATTATTTTTTTATTTTATCTTATTTATTTTATTTTATTTTATTTTATAATTTATCAGCAGTTTCACCGATTGCATAACGTCTAAATGATTTGATTGAAATTGATTTTGAGCCTAATTTATTTGAAAGAGTGACTAAACTATCTTTAACTTTTTCGTTTGATAAAGAGCCAAGGAGTTCTTGTTCTAAAAGTACCATATCGTCATAGAGTTTTTCAACGCTTTTATTATTTTTTTTACAATCTTCGATGATATCAGCAGCAATGTCATCAACTGAAACACATGATGGTGATTGAGCAACAATATGAGTGGCAATCTTTTTACCAAAATCTTTAAGAGCATTGATATCATTACATTCACCTTCGTATTCGAGTTCTACAATGGCACCTAAACGACCAAAAGTGCTGTCTGCTAAAGCTGGGTTATGAGCATAACCAGAGACGACAACATTATTACTATTGGATGATACTAAAGAAACACGACGTAAGACAATATTTTCACGTAACTTGCTAACGGCACGAACAATTAAATCTCTAACAGTCATTGGTTCAACTGTATCTTCAATGACAAAATCGAATTTGATTGGATTGATCTTATCGACTTCAGTTGGTGCAATATCGGTGACACCGTTTTTACCATCAACAATAGCTGATGAGTTTTCTAATGAGGCTTTTGAAATTTGTTGTGCTAAATCACGGAAAATATCACCACGTGAAACGAAATCGGTTTCACTGTTCATTTCTAAAATAACACCTTTATTACCAGAGGTTAAAATTGAAACAATACCTTCTGCAGAAACTCTAGTCTTTAATTTTTCAGCAGTAGCTTTGCCTTTTTCTAATAACCATTGAACGGCCTTTTCTATATCGTTGTTGCTTGCTTGTAATGCTTTTTTACATTCTTGAACTGGTGATTGAGTTTTAACTCTTAATTCTTTAATTAATTCGATTGGTACTTTAACTTCGGTTGAGAAATATGATTTCTTTTCACCATTATTTAATAATAAACTATTTGCAAATAATCTATTTGTATTATTTAAATTAATTTTATTTGATGCTCCTATAGTTATAAAAAAAATTAAAAATAAAAATTTTAATTTAAATTAAAAATTAAATAAAAATTAAATTTTTAATTTTTTAATTTATTTTTTTAATTAATCAATTAGTTTTTATTTTTATTTTGTAATTATAAATAATATATATTTACTTAATAAATTAATTGATGATCTGATCATTTTATTATTTAATATTATTATTTATAATAAGTCTGTAAAAATCTAATATTACAAAAAAACGAAAAAAAAAAAAATAATTTTTTTAATTTTTTTTTTTTTATAAAAATTTTTATTTTTTTTAAAAAAAAAAAAAAAAATAAACCTTGAATTTCATATTACTTTTAATGTATTTAAATATTAAAACTAATACTTTTATTATTAATGTTTAAAATTAAATTTATCTTTTAAAAATAATAATAATAAAAATTCATACCCACACCACACACCCACAAATTCATATAAAACAATCACAAAATGAATATATTAAGAAGCAATAATCACAGATTTATTAATTTTATAAAATTTTATAATAATAATAATATTAACAATAATATAACAAACAATATCAAGTTGTTTAGTTCAAAATCATCACTAAATAGCAACAATTTTAATAATAATAGCTACAATAGAAATATATCATATAAAAGTTTCCAATCAATTAAAACAGATTATAAATTTTCAAATGAAGATGAAGTTTTTCAAGAGATTAAGGATTATAAAAATTATGAAGAAAAAGGAAACTATAGCGCAGCTAAATCCATTTTAAATCGATCATTACAAATGGTTGAGTCAACATTAGGCAGAAAACACGATATTACAATCAACGTATTATTTCGTATGGTAAATTTAGAATTAATTATTGGAGATCTTTCAAGTGCTGAAAAATATTGTAATCAAATTTTAAATAGAATTCAAGATCAATTATACACATCACCAATATCAATACCAACTTTAAACTATTTAATGATTTGTCATCAATATCAAGGCGATAAAGAAAAGTGTTTCAAAGTTATCGATCAAATTATTGATATCGCAAAGAAAAATAATGATTACGAAGTTGTAGTTTCAACACTTTTAAATAAAGCAATTGTTTTATCTTTAGATTGCGATGATGAAGCTGACTCGGTATATAACGAATGTATAAAACTATCAAAAGAAAACTTGGATGAATCAAATAAATTAAATGGTAAGATAAATCAATAGTTTTTTTTTTATTAATTTAAAACTAACTAACTTTTTTTTTGTATTTATAATATTTTTTATTTTTAGAATCAATATTATCAAATTATGCATGTTATTTACATTCAAAGGGTGATAATGACATATTAGCAGAAGAGTTATATTTAAAATCAAAAGAATTGGCAGAAAAGAATAATAACGATATCGAATTAGTAAATATTTTAGCAAACTATGGTGAATTTTTATATGATAGTGACCAATTTGATAAAGCAGTTCCAGTATTAGAGAATGCAATTCAAAAATCGGAAATGGTATATGGAAGAAATAATTCAAAAGTAGGTTGTGTTTTATATGTTTTAGGTAAACTCTATAGAGACAAGGGTAGTCACTCATGGGCCGAAGGTTTCTTCAATAAATGCATCACTATTTTTGAAGATCACAAAAACAATATTAAAAGAAGAGAAAACGAAAGAGAATTAATCAATAAAAATGAAAGCTCAAACTATCATTATCAACCAGGTAAAAGAGAGAGAGAACTAAGAAACAATAAAGAAGTAGATATCGAATTTGGCAATGTGCTTTGGGACTATGCTCAAATGATGAGGGAAAAAGGAAGATTAAAAGAAGCTGAAAATTTAGAGGAAAGAGCCCGTAAATTAAACTCCTTCGAAGAATAAATTAATATTAATAATATTAATAAAATAATAAAAAATTTAAATCATTTAAATTTAAATAAATTGAATAATATTATTACAATTATTATTATTGGATTATGGGGAGGGAGAAAGAGCAGTTATTTATTAATTTTTAAATTTTATTATGTTTTTTTTTTTTTTTTTTAAAAACTTTATTATTTATTAATTATCACTACCATAATCTTGATTATAATCACCATTATAATTTGGTGGATCTTCGTAATTATCGGTATTAATATTTTGAGAGTTTTTATAATATAAATCTTCGGGGTAATATGCTGAAAAAATGGTTCTTCCATTATATTTTTTGCCACCTAAACCTAAACAAGCTTTTTGTGAAGATTCTAGTTGTTGAAATTCAATATATATTCTTGTTACATCTAATGGATTCTTTGAAGGCATTGGTAACCAAAGTGATTGAGTTGGTCCAAAATTTTCACATTCCTCTTTAACGTCGATTAAAATATTATCATATTCTTTATCGTCATACAAATCTTCTTTATCTACTAAATTTAAAAGTTGAATGACACGTGATGGTTTGGTATTGTTGTCAATGGATGTTTGTGTTGTCGATGTGGTTGGTGATGATGGTACAGTAGATCTAATGGTACTGAGAGTTTGTGCAACTGGTATGGTAAGATTTAATAAGTTGGTGATTGCTGGATCGATAATTTTTTCGCTTCCTGGCAACATGGGTGTTGAATCACCACCAGCTATAGGGTCGTCGGTAACCTTCTTTTCGGCCAAAGCTGCTTTGGAACCGATGCTTGCACGTTGAACAATTAGATTTTTGTCGGCCAATGAAATACCATTTAAACTTGCGCATGCTTGATCTGTTACATCTGGGTCAAGATATTCACAAAATGCATAACCCTTTGAAATACCAGTGTTGGTATCTTTGACCAAATTGAATGCCTTCAATTTACCATAGGCTGATAATAATGTTTTAACTTGCTCTTCATTAAGGTTACTTGGTAAACCACCAACAAATATTTTATGTTCACTATCTGGCACATTGGTTGGTACGATAGTGGGTAATGCTGATGTGTTGGTTGGATCATTGGATTGTTGATAATCTTTTGGTCTACGGATTTTTAATGTATAGTTTTTTAAAGTAATACCATCAAACCTCATGGCATTGGTTGCTTCTTCTGGGGTTCTAAATTCTATGAATGCAAAACACTTTGGTGCATTAATTTGACAAAATACTACTGGTGGTCCTGGTTTAACATTTAAATTGGCTGCTAAAACTGCTGCATTAAAAAACTCAATTAACTCTGAATCTGTAATACCTGGTGGTATATTACCAACATAAATTCTTCTTGATTGTTTCTTTTGTGGGTCCAATTGTTGTTGCATTTGTTGTTGTACTTGTTGATGTTGTGTTTGTTGAAACATTGGGTTAAATTGTTGTTGTTGTGGTTGTTGCTGCATTTGTTGAAATCCATTATTATTACTACTACTACTACTGTTATTATTATTATTATTAAAAAATTGTGGTTGTTGTTGTTGTTGTTGAAAATTTTGTTGTTGCATAAATGGTTGTTGTTGAAATCCACCCTGCTGTGACATTGATGGTGGTGATTCTTGATCAGGTTGTCTATCCCAAAGTGATGACTTTCTTGATTGTGGAGTTGCTGTAAATGGGTCACCTCTTCCACTACGTGATGCTGGTGGTGATCTACTTCTTTTTTTATTTGAATAACCATCACGTTCTCTATCACGTTCTCTATCTCTATCTCTGTCTCTATCACTACGATCACTACGATCTCTATCACGCTCTCTATCACGATCTCTGTCTCTATCTCTATTTCTATCTCTGTCTCTATCACTACGATCACCACGATCTCTATCACGATCTCTTCTATAGTAATCTCTGTCTCTATCACTACGATCACCACGATCTCTATCTCTGTCTCTATCACTACGATCTCTATCCCTATCACTTCTTTCTTTATCTCTACTCTTATCTCTTTCTTCTTTTTCTTCCATTTTTATTATTATTTATTATAAAAAAAAAAATCTATTTATTATATGAATTAAATTGATAAATTGGTTATTTGATTAATTTTTGATTGATTAATTTTTTTTATTATTTAAAATATAATGTTTTTCAAATTTATGATTGTTTTTTTAATTGGATTTTTAAATTAATTTCATATGAATAATTATTATAATTTAGAAGAAGGAAATGATAAAAATAAAAACAAAAAAATAAAAAAATAAAAAAATAGAAAAATAAAAATAAATTTAAAAAAAAAAAAAAAAAATTAGTTTTTTTAAAAAAATTAAATTAAAAAAAAAAATAAAAAATAATAAAAAAATATATTTATAAATAAATAAAAAACGAATGAATTTAGTATTGGTTATTTTGGCTTAAAATATATGAAATCATATATACATAATTTCGTAATTATATTTTCAATTAAAAAAATGAAAAGAAAAAAAAAAGAAAAAAAAAAAAGAAAAAAAAAATTTGGAATTTTAAAAAATTTGGATTGTTGAAAATGCATCAGTGGTTATATTTAAGAAATTTTAAAAATAATCTCAAAACTATGTGTATATATATTAATAACAAATAAAATATAATTAATTAAATTATATAATTTATTTATTTGATATTATATTTGTTTTTTTACATTCTATCTATTAAATTTGTATTCACACACCCTCACACTTAAATGAGATAAAGACATCAAAACCACTTTTAAAATCAATCTCTATCAAAATGATTATTATTATAACAACAGTTCCATTTTTAAAAATCGGATGTCTGTACAAATAAAATTTTAAAAAAATTAAAAAAAATAAAAAAATAAAAAAATTCTTTTAAAGTTTTTGTTTATTAATTTTTAACTGTTTGATTTCTCCATCATTTTTAAAGTCAGCTCTATTTTTAAAAATACTCTTTGTTGTGTGTGAGGATTTAAAAAAACAGTTAAAAATAGGAACACAATTATTTTTTCAAGTTTTAATTTGAAAATAATTTAAAAATAACCACAACACACACAAACTAGCACACACAAATACATAATTAAAACAACTTTGCAAACCACTCCTTTTCACCCTTTTACATAAACCACAAATTTTATTTTTTTTTAAATAAAATTACTTATTATATTTAATTAACTTTTATATAGGAGAAAAAAAAATGATTTCTAAAAATAACCTCATTCAAAAACTTTATAATTTTCGAAAATTATATCAAACAGTTTTAAATTTAAAATAAACAAATTAATAGACATTGATTGTAATTGTTTTTTTTTTGTTTTTTTTAGAATCAAATGTCGATGGTAAAATCGAGAAAGAATCACAAACCTTCAGCCAGTTCAAATTAATTTTATAATAATATAATGAAATATTACACCTTTTGAAATTGATTCATTTCAAACAGAGTAGCTAATATTTCTTTACATTCCATCCATTAAAAAAATAACATGTATACGTGCTGTAGGTTGGTAAAGTTTTAATGAAATTAGAAAGATTTGGGATTTTGAAAATGCTTCTTATGAAATCCCAATTTTAAAATATAAAAATATTACTTTTGACTTTAAATTTAAAATGAAAACCAATTATAAGTGATATCATGTAATGTTAATGTTAATAGTAATAAAACCTTTAAAATATACCTAGAGCTTTTCATGTGGACTATGGTTGTCTTATAAAGAAAGAAGAATTTTATTTCAATGATATGTAGAATTAATAAAAACTATATTGACAAACTCTGATATGTATTATATCATTATGACCACCACTATATTATATTTACTTTAGTTTGGTTTTAAATTTAAATAATAAATAATCAGATCTATTACTATTTTTTTTTTTTTTTATTATTTCCTTTCAATATGATTTGTATACCTTTTGCCAGTTTTAAAAGCTATATATAACACCACTATATATAGTATTTTTAGCTATGTATCAGAACTATTTGAGTGTGTGGGGGTATTTTTTAAATATTTTTGAAAATTAATAAATTTTTTAATTATAAAAAAAAAAAAACAAAAAAGTGGGTGTGTCTTTTTACTTTTGTGTGATCATTTAGGTGTATTATATTGTGAGATTTATTTAATATTATATTTTTTATTAAATCTTTCTCTTTTTTAAAAACTCTATATTAAAATTTTAATATACAATCTCATCTTTGTTAGTTGAGAATGAGAAGGTAGAAATTTAGTCTATTTGACTGTGTATGTGATTTATAGAGAGAAAATATCAAAAATATAAACACACTCATATTACCTATACAATTTTTAAAAAAAAAACACTATAACCTTTACTTTTTAAAAGATCACTACAAAAAAAAAAAACACAAACTATTGATATAATGTAAATGAATAGTCTCTTTAACATTAAACAGAAAACACAACAAAAAAACACATAATAAATAAACATATTATTTTATTATCATTATCAAAATTAATATTTTTTTTAATTTTAATTTTAAAAAAAAAAATATATAAATAGAAAAAAAAAAAAAAACTAATAATTGTTTATTTATTTTAAAACAAAATATATATATTTATAAAAAAGAGATAGTTTTATTAATTTAATGTAACTATTTCTTAAATTTATAACCACATATTATTATATTTATTAATTTTTTTTTTTTTTTTATTTTATAATTTTAAAAATATTTTAGTTTTCAAAAAATTAATTAAAAATATAAAAATGAATATTAATTGTATTTTAAATAAAGGAACATTCACCACCTTAACATTATTAAAACTCGAACAACAACAACAATTAAATGAAGGCCCAAACCCAATTGACAGTCCATCATCATATGATTTATATAATAACAAAAAGTCTAATCAAATCATGATGCTTAACACACCTATGGGTGATGGTCCAGATCCAATCAATTTCTTATTAAACGAAAGCCAATTCGATACTTTTGAAAGACAAAAAAGCTTTTTAAAGAAAACCAAAATCTTTAGCAACGAAGTTGTTGATCAATACTTTCACCACTACAACCACTTATCCTTTGGTGAAAAAATATTTACCCTCTCAGGTTACCAACTTTGCCAAAATAATAATACCAAAAAACCATTTTATCCTACCACAAACAACTATGATATCTCAATTGAAATACAAGGAATGGTTAAATCAATTCTCTCCAACCCAAGCTTAGTATACTATCGTATCTTTGACTTAAAAGAATCCTCATTTGAACTAGGCTTTGTAAATTACAACCTCTTTACCATCTATAAAGAAATTATCGATATATTTGAAACATTATCAATTGTAAATCATTACAAAGGCACAAATATTTATAAATGGAATGGTGGATATCATGTAAATAAAATTTTAGAAAACCTATTAGATAAAAGAATAACATTTGAACCAAATGAAAAAAGTAAAGAAATTAACAATATATTAAAGAACTTTATAATAAATAAAAAGGTATGTATTATATAGTTAATATTTTAAATTTTTAAAATCAAAAAAATTAATTATTTATTTTAATTTAAAAAGGTCAAAAAGAACTTTATCTCCTTAAGAGAAAAAGCAGTTTGGGATGTTCTTGTATCAACAAATATAATAAAAATTGTAAATAATGGAAATGATTTTATAATCAACGATGAAAATACTTTATTTTAAAATATATCACCCACACACATTTTTTTAATTTATCATATGTTATAATAATAATTTTTTGGTAAATTATTTTAACAGCAATATGATACAATAATATAAATAGAAAACTGGGGTTTTTTAATGTACCCCAATTTAAATTATAATAATTATCCCAAAAAATAAAAAAATAAAAAAATAAAAAAATCACATATAAAAAAATCACATATAAAAAAACAAATAAAATATATTTTTGTAAATAAAGGTCCTCAATTTCATTTTTATTAGTTTTTTCTTTTTACTATTATTTTACCCATAATGGACAAACGAAAATGCTTTATAAATTTTGATCAACCACGATATTTTTTTTTTCTAAATAAATTCTTTTAAATTTTAAAAAATAAAATTCATATAAAAACATTTTTTATATATTATTTTTTTTCTAATTATTTTATTTTTATTTTTTTAATTTTTTTAATTTTTTCTCATTTTAAAGCGATGTGACAATTTAATTTATATTTTTTTTTTAAATTTAAAAAAAATAATACCACATAACTGCAAAACACATACACACCAATACAACCCCACTTCTACTAACACACCCAACATTAAACTTGCATATAATATTTTGGAACAGACTTAAATTTTTTTTTTTATTAATTCCCACATAAAAAAATAAAACCTTCACCTTTGTAATAATAATATTTAACAAACAATAGTTATAATATATAATAATTTCAATAAATCTTTTTAAAAAATGGATGAAGATGATTTTGTATTCATTGATGATACTTCACAACCATTGCGAGTAGATGTTAAGAAATCACATCAAGAACTACCACCAAAACAACATCAACAACAACAACAACTAAAAACAGACCAACCACAACTACTTCCTGTATACTTTGTAAATGATTCTGTCGTTTTTGATGATAATATCGTCACCCAACCAGAACAAAAAAAAGAAGAGAATATTGTTGTAATACAATTTCTCGAGACCAACTATTCTAAGGAACAAACAGTACCAGTAATTGAAAGAGGAAACTCATCATTACAGGTACCATCACCAACTTCCCAAGGAACATCACCAATTAAACTTCAAAAACAGGAAGAACCAGATTGGTTAAAAGGAAAAGAAAAAACCAAATATACCAGTACAATTTCAGGTGGTATCAAGTATGTCTCAACCAATCTTGCTGATAAACCCTACATCACCACTATGAAATCTTCAGATAGCTATGCTAGCTACTCATCCGTTTCAAACTCTTATGTATCTTCTTCAAAAACTAATACTAACCCATACAGCTCAAACTCATTGGCTTCAAAACCTTATGTATCTGCGTCAAAATCCGGTAACTCTTATAGTTATGCTTTTTAAAATCATTATAGTTGTTTGTTAAAAAAAAAAAAAAAAAAAAAAAAAAAAATATAAAAAATATAAAAAAAAAAAAAAAAAAGAAAAGAAAAGTATGAAGCTTTATACCATACTTTTAGAAAAAAAAAAACAATAAAAAAAAAACAATAAACCCACTCTACTCCTGTAAATAGGCCCAAACCAAAACTAAAACAAATGAAAAACAAACAAAATATTATTTTTTTTATAATTGGATTAATTTTACATCTTTATTTATTTTCTTGTTGTTTTCTTTCCAACTCTTTTCTATCTATCCAATTATTTACCAACTGTGTCATTTGAATTTTAAACTGCTCTTTTGAAGGGTGGTTCCTGAATAGTGGATTGTTTACTGCATTGGAAAATGAGTTTATAAATTTTGGAAACTTCATAAACCTGAATGGATCATCTTTATACTGTTGTATTTGATGGTCATCATAACTTTGTTTGCCATCACCTAGGTAATTTAAAATTGATTTCATTTTATCGTTTGAAACTTGGTTTGTAGACATGTTGTAAACTGCATCTAAATAATCCTCCATATGTCCCCAAAGTTTAGTTAGCTTTAACATTTCTGAGCCCATATGTTGAAACCAAAAATTTAAACTTATCGATGGTTCTAATGTTTTTACATAGTGCCACCACAATTTAGGTATATATAAAATTTCGCCTTGATTTAATTCGACATTGATACAAATTGCACTTCTTGCTTCTGGGTACAAATTATAATCTGGCTTATCTATATCAAACTCTGCATGGTGAAATTGTCCCCATTCTCTTTTTCTTTTAAAACATCCAACATTTAATTCTGGGTCAAATAATTTAAATAATTTCTTTCCAATAATAACTGCATGCTATATATTAAATTAAATTTTGTTTTGTTAATTATAATAATAATAATAATCGTGATAAATATAATTATAAAAACTTACCAAACCATCCATGCCAGGGTCACCCGAAGAGAAATCATGATGTAACGGTGTGACTTGATCTTTAAAACCAATCCATAAATTTGCTGATTTATTCTGCTCTAGTGGAATTTCTGGTGTAATATAATCATTTTCAAGCTCTTTAAAATATGTTTTAACTGGTAAACTTGCTAAGTAATATTTGGGCTTTTTATTATTATTATTATTATCATCATTAATACCATTATTACTACTATTACTATTACTATTATTCGATTGTTGTTTAAACTGTATGTAATGTTCTTTCCATAAACTATAAAATATTTGAAAATCGATCTCTGTTGTTTTTCCTAACCATTCACCTGAACTGTAATCTACATTCTCTCTGACTGGTATTTGTTTATTTTTTATCTATTTAAAAAAAGTAATGTGTATCATTCCATTAATATTTAAATACTTTAGTAAAAATAAAAAAAAATAATAATAAAAATAACGAAAAAAAAATAAAAAAATAAAAAATGAAAAAAATTAAAAATTAATTAATTTTATAATAAACAATAAAAAAAAAAATAATATCTGTATTTTTACCATTGTGCTCAAATAATCTTCATTTATTTTATTGTTATTTGTAGGTAACCATTTTTTAAAGCATTCCCAATTTGATACACTATTGGTTATGATAAATGGTTTATTATTCAAAACAAATTGTTCGAATAACTCTCTGTTTGGATTTTCAATTCTTTCCAATTTCATAATTTTATATAAAATAATTAATGATCAAAAAAAAAAAAAAAAAAAAAAAAAAGATTTTGAAAATAATTTATTTGTTGTGTGTGTTTTTTTTTTTTTTTTTGATTTATAATTTTTTTATTATTATTTTATTAATATTTATATAATTTATATAATTTATTAATTGTTGTTTTTTTTATTTTTTTTATTTTTTTTATTTTTTTTTTTTAAAACTCTCTTTATTTTTATTTTTTTTTTGTGATATAAAATATTTTATGGAGGAGTAACAAAAATTAAAAAAAAATTAAAAAAATTTTTTAAAAATTTAAAAAAAAAAAAATTGAAAATTTTTAAAAATTTTTTTGGTGGTGTCGTTTTTTTTTTTTACTTTGCCAAATACTATTAGTCTTAGTCATATTACGAAACACATAGAAAATGGTCCAAAGATTAACCTATCGTCGTCGTTTATCTTACCGTACTACCTCAAACACCGTCAAAGTGTAAAGATTAATTGGATTATAGATAGATAACAGAGAGAAGTGTGTGATATTGGTTCATGTGGATTGATTATGGATTATGGATAATGGATAAAATAGAGATAATTTATTTTTTGGATACAATGCTATATCTCAATTTATATCAACTATCTGTCAATATCTACCACTTTCACACACTCTGACATACTCTGTACACACACAACACAGATTATTAATGATATCCTTTTTTTTTATATAGTGTTAAGACTCCAGGTGGTAGATTAGTTTACCAATACATCGGTAAAGTTGGTAAAGTCCCAAGATGTGGTGAATGCGGTGTCAATCTTGCCGGTGTAAATATAGAATATACCTATTTTCATTAGATAAACAAAAATAACGATATTAATCATTTTAATATATATATAGATCCCAGCTTTAAGACCATTCCAATACAAAAATCTTCCAAAATCAAGAAGAACCGTCGCTCGTGCTTACGGTGGTAGCAAATGTGCTAAATGTGTCCGTACTAGAATCGTCAGAGCCTTCTTAATTGAAGAACAAAAGACTGCCAAAATTGTCTTCAAGAAACAACAAAAAGATTTAAAACAAAAGAAAGAAAAGAAATCATCAAAATAAATAAATTAACTTTATAATTATGATTTTTTAATATAAATAATAATATACAGATTTTTAGCGTTATGTAAACATTAATATAGCACACACAAAAAAACAGTACCGAAACACAACCACACATACATTTTTTATAGGGGCGGAGTTACAGTTAGCACACCTTAAAATTTGTAGCATAGTAATAATAATAATGTCACATAGCCCATCATTTGTTTTAAAACCATTATTTTTATTTATTTGTACGGATTAATGTGTTTTTTATTTATTTATTTATTTTTCATTAAATTCATTAGTTGTGTTTTATTTTTCAAAACCTATCGAAAATAATTCTTTTTTTTTAATTATAACTATAAATATTTTATTTTGGGTTATATTTATTTTTAAACTTTTTTTTATATTAATTTATTATAAACTAGCCATACAAATAAAGGTAAACTTTATTGGAATATAAAAATAAAGAGGTTGTTTTTGTATTAATAGTAAAAAAATTTCTATTGGATATTGAAAATTTTAAAAATTTTATTTGTCAATTTTTTTTTATGTGTTGTCACAAAACAAATATTCAACACAAAAAATATAAATGCTTATATATTTCACATAAGCCCCCTAAATTGTAAAGCTTCATTTTTAATTATATGAGGATAGAAATAAATAATCTATATGTATATTTTGCTCTTTCAGATTTTTATATTATTATTTTTTTTTATTCAGTCAAATGTCCATGGATCCACTTTAATAATATATGTGAAAAGTTTATATCAATCATAAAGGAGGCACATTTATACAGTATACATAACCCACAGACCCACACTAAAAGCAGTTGCTTTATTATTCGAATTTATTTTTTTCATAATATAAGGTTATTTTTGTGGTTCAGTGAGCGTGCAGTGTACACAATTTCTATTAAATATATAAAAATATTCCAATCTCTTTATCTAATTGGATGGGAGGTTTGTGTAAATAAAATAAAAAGTATACAAGTAAAAAATAATATTTAATTAATTTTAATTAATTAATCTTTTTTTTTTATTTTTTTTTTATTTTTTTTATTTTTTTTATTAATTATAAAAAAAGTTTTAAAAACTATTTTATTTTTTTTTTATTTTTTAAATTCTAAAAACAAAAGAAGATAAAATAAAACAACAACAAAAATATAATATAAATAATTATTATAATTATTTTATTTAAAATCAATAATTATAAATGGACCAATCGAAAAAGAATTATTTACCTATATAGGTTCAGATATTTTTTAATTTTATTTTTTTTTATTTTTCTTTTATTTTTTTTTAAAAAAAAATAATCAAAAAATAAAAATATTAATATTTTAAAAATAGTTTAAAAACTATATCGTTTTTAAATTGAAAAAATATTAAAAATATCTAAATTTGAGTGCACAAATATTATGTTTTTATGCTTGTAATGTAGTTTAAAATTATAAATAGATTTTACAGTGGAGAAATATAATTTGAGTGGATATTAATTTATAATTTGACAAAAAAAAAAAAAAAAAAAAAATATATAAAATTAAAAAATAAAAAAGAAAAAAAAAAAAGTATAAAACAAAATCAAACTTTGGATTTCAATTGTTTTAATCTTTTTTTATCTCTATTTAGTTTTAATTACAAACTTCTTTTACATTCTCTCCACTGTATTATAGTTATTATAAAATTTTATTTTTTTTTCTTTAAAAAATAAATAAATAATTAAACAAACAAATAAACAAACAAATAAACAAACAAACAAACAAACAAACAAACAAACACATAATAAATAATAAATAATAAATAGACTTTTAATTAAATGTATTTATATTTTTTCTAAATAATTTTTTAAATCACTCACAATAGTTTGTATTTTTTATATTGTAATATTAATTCTTTCTTTCTTTTGTATTTCAAATAATATATAATTAAATTAAATATATATATAAATCTATAGTTTACATTCTTAGTGACCTCAAAAATTAATATTGATTTATTTTTATTTTTTCAATTTATATATTTATATTTTTATTTAATTATTTATAGATTTCACATTTATTAGAAAATTCATTTTTTCTTCCCCCACTCATTTTAGTTTTTTTTTTTTTCACAATTGTTTTCAATAAGCCAAATAGTTTTTTTCTTGTAATACTAAATAATTTTTGTACAATAATACCAATAGAATATACAATAGCTTCAATTACCTTCCTCATTGATAGTATTCATTTTACAATAGACAAATAAAAATAACAATAAAACAAATATATTAAAAAATAATTATAATTATATTTTCTTTTTTCTTTTATTTTTTTCTTTTTTTTTTTTTTTTAAAAAAAAACAACTTTATAAATTATACATAATTTTTTTAAAAAAAAAAAAAAAATAAAAAAAAAATAAAAAAAAAATAAAAAAAAAATATTGTAGTAACTATAATAACTATATCTAATAAAAG